TTTTTTTTCCTTTTTTTTTTCTTTTAAAATTTTCCATTTTAAGTTGGTTATTTCTGATTTATATTTAAAAGCAAATAATAATGATATGGTAGGAGGTACACACCAAACAGGATGTGTAAATTATTATATAATAAGTATTGTGCAATAGCAAGAAATTTTCAATTGCACAGTATTGCACAATAGCAAGAAATCTTCAATTGCACAGTATTGCGCAATAGCAAGAAATATCCAATAGCACAATATTGCGCAATAGCAAGAAATTGTCAATTGTACAGTATTGCGCAATAGCAAGAAATATTTAATTGCACAGTATTGTGCAAAAGAAGATACTTCGTATAAATTGCTTATTTCTTGACCAATTTCAATGGGGAGTTATTCTTGAATTCTTGGGGTTCTTTAATATGCTGAATCTAACCGTGTATTTAGTTTTTGGATTTTGGGCCCCGTTTTTAAATTGGTCCACATTGAGGTCCAAAGGGTCCAAAATTAAACTTTGTTTGATTTCATCAAAAATTGAATTATTTGGGTTCTTTGATATGCCGAATCTAACCGTGTATTTAGATTCTTAATTTTTGGTTCCATTTTCAAATTGGTCTACATTAAGGTCCAAAGGGTCCAAAATAAAACTTAGTTTGATTTTAACAAAAATTGAATTCTTAGGGTTCTTTGATATGCTGAATCTAAACATGTATTTAGATTTTTGATTATGGGCCCGGTTTTCAAGTTGGTCCAAATCGGGGTCCAAAATTAAACTTTGTTTGATTTCAACAAAAATTGAATATATGGGGTTCTTTGATATGCTGAATCTAACCATGTATTTAGATATTGGATATTAGACCATAATAGGTGAATGTCCAATTTAAAATTTTTAAGTTCTTAGACCACATTCATTCTGTGTCAAAAACCTATGCTGTGTCAAATATTTAATCACAATCCAAATGCAAAGCTGTATCAAGCTTGAATGTTGTGTCCATACTTGCCCCAACTGTTCAGGGTTCGACCTCTGTGGTCGTATCAAGCTGCGCCCTGTGGAGCATTTTATTGACGTATGTCCTGGATCTCATTTCATTTAAATTAAAAATTTAAAGATGAGATGTGATGGTAAAATTTCATTCTATCACCTAGGGAATACAAATGTATATGAAAGGACACCTACCTATAAGTTTAATTTCACCCATTGAAAAATTTAATTAATAAAATATTAAAACAAATGCAATTTTGATGTTGTTTCTCTTGTTGCTGGAATCATTTTCCATACTGTGACCCTTACATTGTTTAATTTCATATTGATTATGAAATATTCAACTATTTTAATTATCTTGGTTCTCCAACCTTGTATTGATTATTCTATCTGAAACTGTTAAATATATTCAAATCTATCACTTTTTTGTTTGCTTTTTAATGGAATTGAAGGAAAATATTGATTGAACATCATTTTAACAATCTCCTTCTAATCTAAGTAATTCTAAAAAGTATTATTATTCTATTCTTTTATTTACGGTGATAACAGAAGGTGGCTTAGTCTAATGGTATTTCATTTTTTTAAGCAACAAGGAGAGGTATGAATTATTAAATTCAATAGTTGCCCTGATTACAGTTTTCTTTTGATCTTTGTTCTGGAGCAATATGGAAAGTCTTTACATAAACTATTTGATATGAATTTGAATATTTAAACTTATCTGGTCTAAGGGAGATAAATCTGTGTGAACAAATTGTATGCTATGCAGAAATTGGCAGTGTTTTGATGGGTAGTCAACTTATTAATTCTTTTGTCTTCAGTTTTCCTTAATCAGCAAACAGATTGAAATGAAACTGATAAGTCTTAAACCTCATAATAAAATAGTTTTGGTATTAGATTTAAATAAGAGAATGGAGACTGCCGTTTCCTCATATTTCTAAATCTAGTATTTATTACAAAATTAATAGATGTTATACCATTTTGGTACAATGTTATCAAAATTTATAAATAAAAGACATTTTGAAAGATGTATGTTGGCCTCCAGATGTCTTTCTATCTAATTTTTTAGTATTTTAAGTTGGCTGACTTATTGACATGTGCCCTACATTCTTTAATTTTGCCCTCAGCAAAAAATTCAGGTGAGCATTTAGTTGATATTTTGTCTGTACTTCAGAAACAAGTGAATTTGACTTGAATACCCTTTGGAGTAGGTGATTACAACTTATAACATTACCTTGTAGTTTGAAACATTGCTTTCAACGACAAAATGTAGGTTAAGTTGTATTTTACTGTTGCAGCAGTTAATATAAGTTTGGGCCTGTGAACTACCTAAAAATAATAAAAACTAGTTTCTGAATGGTAAATTAGGTTGGTTTGGATTAGACTATTACCATCTACCATGCAATGGATGTCTAGTTCAATCTTCACTTTTGCCAGAAATATGGTTCTAGAGTTATGCCTCTAAATTTTCTTTAATCAGTAAATATATTTCCAGATTGTAACTAAACTTTGGAAGAGAACTTTAAAACTTACAACATTATTTTATAGTCCTGTTTGTCAACATTGTAGATTTATGTCCGTTTAATTATCTCCAAATGATTAACAGATAATAATTGAGATCACTCAAGTATAGGAATTTCTACTTTCAATGAAATGGTGGTCAACTTGTATTTGCGATGGTTATGCAATTACCAATCCAGAGTTATGCCCATTAATTTTTCTTTAAAATCGTGAAATTAGGTTTCTGAGTGATGAAATTAGTTTGATATAAGTTAGGAGTTTAATTCATTGTAATGCTTCAGTCTGCCATGAGATACAGTTCAAACTAGCACATTTAAGTGAAGCAAAGTTTTCAGATCACAACTTAAGCTTGTTCTAGAAGCTAAGTTCAGTTCACTACTAACAACCTGCTCAGGCATGTTACATTGCAAAAAGCTAGTGTTATCATTGTTCCATTGTGTTCCTTCTTAAATTATTTGTCTACATCTTCAATGGTGAAAGCAGGTCTAGTAACGGCTCTGTCTGTCATTCCGTTCCTCCAAAAGACCTAAGGTAGAAAACTTTCGCCAAAGTTTTCATGGCTTCTTTTTAAGGGAATGGTTGTATATTTGGTCTGCAGCTGCAAAATGTTGAGTTGTATTGTGTAAGCAATTTTTTCATCAGCCCTGTGTTGCCCTTCCTTTTTGCCTATATTTTGAAATTTTACAAAACTCATTGTACAAAGAAAACTTTTAATGGCTTCTATGGAAGGAACAGATTTTAAATTTGGTCTGCAGCTTGATAAGTAACTATTATCAGGTTGTCTGAATATTAATATTGTAAAACATCAGCTTCGATCCACAATATGAAGTTTTTTTGTAGAGTGAGTGCAGTGAAGGAGTTCAAAAAGGCTTTATATTGTGTCAGTCAGCTTATATTTTGAAATATCAATATGCAGACAACCTGATAATTGATTTATTGGATTGTATTTGTGTATTTGCCAGCAAACCGGAAGATGACGTGATAAGTTCAGGTCAAACTTATCAATGTAGGTTCGTTTATTATGAGGTCAATGATATGTCCATGTCAAAGTTATTAAGGCCGGGTCATCACATTTGACGTCACAAAGCCGTGATATGCTATTTTATGAAGAGTTGAGCAGAGTGATACAGACAATGGGAACACCAATAATGTTGAGTTGTAGTTACTGTGCAGCCAATTCCTGTTTGTCAATACTAGTAGTTTGAAGTTTTCTTGACTTTAATGATTTTAAGAAATGATCCATTATGCTTCAGTATACATGTTACCTCAATCAATTACATGCAGCAATGTAGTTGAAGACATAATATTGGTCTTTTTTTGTACTACAATTCAGGCTTGAACAATTTTTACTTTTCTGTATGTGCGCTACTGCAAATTTAGAAGTCTTTGCATGCCTTTATAATTGCAATTATTGAATAATAGACACAAATGCCAGATACCGTTAAATTATTGGGATATTAAGAAATGCTGCATGAAATAATGCTTTCAAAATTTAAAATGTGAGTTTTTTGTAAAAATTTTCAGGTTTCTTTTTTCACAATAATAAAACATGGCACATTTACAGTATTCAAGGGATCATCCGCTGGATGTGTCATCTGTTTACTCTTTTTCTTTTGGTCAAAATGGTCACACATAAGAATCAATCCCGAATAAAAATGTTAAATTGCACTTTTATTTGATTTAGATGGGAAAATGATTCTCTGGAAAGGAAATTCCATGCCATTTAATATCCTAATAGTCAGACTTTGGTTTTTAAAGAATTATGATATACTTATAAATATTAATGTAAGCTAAAATAACCTGGCGAATGAAGTACATGTATTATATATTTGTTATATTGTTTCCTGATACTTACGATTGTCATAAAAGAACGCATTACTATGAAATCATACAATAAAACCTAGTGAACGATGTTTGCAGGTTAATTTTCACATGCATAATACATCAGTTTGTCAGAAAAGATGCTGATAAAATTATAATAAAATAGTGCTTTGATTTTTTATCATATATCGATCATCTCTATTATTTACACCTACACAGATCTAGTGGGATAAAGATTTTATAATAGAATTGAATTCTTTTTGAATTCTTTTTATTAAATTTGTAAGTGGCCATTGTTTTACATTCCAAAGAAATAAAAGAATAAAAAGGATTACCTGAATTGAACCATGTTCTTTGCAATTTGCTGTGTCAAAATCTTACGAAAATAAATGAAAACAATGCTGCAAAAGTTTTATTTTTTTAAGTAGGCTATATAACACAAGATGTTTAGTGTTGATGGTAAAGTGAATTACTTCTTGTAACATCATCAGATAATAGGTCCCCACTCATAAGCTTCTTTTTCAAATGTAATTATATATATATATAAGCTGTTATCTGACAAGTGTTGTACAAAATTTGTTATGTGTTTACAGCAAAAATGTTATCAGCTTCAAATATCACCAGAAGTTTACATTAAAGTCAGAAAAAATTATGAAACTTTAAAAAGTTATTTTATTAACTGTCATTTTCTTTGTAATAGGTGCTTATTCACCGGCTATTCACATGCAGTATGGTTCAGAAATTGCATTACGTATGGGGCGGGCAGAATCAGACAGAGAAAGTATTATCAGTAGCGAAGTTTCTGCATTTAACGACCAGAATGCTATGAGGTAAGATAATCATAATTATACACTGTCCATGACTCCATACATGGCAATAGGTTTGGAAAAGACTAAGTAATGACATGTGAAGGAGTTCAGGTTTATGACTCCTTCTGTAAGCCTGTGTATTAAGAAATTTTCAAAGTGCTATAATATCAAAACAGCAAAAATACAGAAAAATTCGTAAGGGTTCCGCGGAACCCAGTGTCTCGCCTACTTTTGCTGTTAATCGCAGGCTCAACAAAAATGAGGAAAAAACTTAATAAAAATATTCCTCTCTATACTATCTTTTGATTGCAAGTAGCTTCTGTCCAAGTTTGGTAAAAATCCAGGATAGTTTATGAATCAAATAAAAGTTTTAAAAACTTAAACTGCAGACTGTATGTAATGTTAACTGGAAGAAAAACAAAGTCCATTTATAAGTAAAAAACGGAAAAAATGGAACAAAATTTTAACAAATTTTCCTTCTACATACTAGCTTTTAATCATAAACAAGCTTCTGTCCAAGTTTGGTACAAATCCAGGATAGTTTAAGAAAGTTGTTAAAATTTAAAAAACACTTTAACCACAGAGTGAATGTAATGTAAACTGGCAGAAAAACTAAGTCCATTTATAAGTTAAATACGGATAAACTGGATTTTTTTTACAAATTTTACTTCTGGATACTATCTTATGATCATAAACAAGCTTCTGTCCAAGTTTGGTACAAATCCAGGATAGTTTAAGAAAGTTGTTAAAATTTTAAAAACTTTAACCACAGAGTGAATGTAATGTTAACTGGCAGACAAACTAAGTCCATTTATAAGTAAAATACGGAAAAAATGGAATTTTTTTTTTTTAAATTTACTTCTGGATACTATCTTATGATCATAAACAAGCTTCTTTCCAAGTTTGGTAGAAATCCAGGATAGTTTAAGAAAGTTATTAAAATTTCAAAAACTTTAACCACAGAGTGAATGTAATGTTTCCTGGCAGAAAAACTAAGTCCATTTATAAGTAAAATACGGAAAAAATGGAATTTTTTTTTTACAAAATTTACTTCTAGATACTATCTTATGATCATGAACAAGCTTCTGTCCAAGTTTGGTAGAAATCCAGGATAGTTTAAGAAAGTTATTAAAGTTTCAAAAACTTTAACCACAGAGTGAATATTTGTGGACGCCGCCGACGCCGACGGAATGTAGGATCGCTATGTCTCGCTTTTTCGACAAAAGTCGAAGGCTCGACAATAAAAGTGACACGCCATTATGTACATATACCAATGGGATACTCTGTTCCAAGCAATACTGTTTATTTATTCATTGCATTTAATAGAAATTGGGGATTTTGTGGCAAATAAAGCCAACATTTTTGCAAAAAATTAACAGACTTTAGTTTTTGTAATAAAATTTAAAACATTGATTACTCACTTGTTTGTCCATGATGTATTAGTGCTTATAGTATAAAAAAAGTCCTAAACAATCTTTTAAATCCAAAAAACCTTGTGCTGAGTCACTAAAGTCGAGCGCACCCTTAAGAGTGTATTTGAATAGGTCCATATTTATGCTTGTTTTAAACGATATCTTTATTTATAAACTTGTTTAAGGGAAATCATTGCTAGCACTGCATGCAATAATCCTGTATCTATTAAGCACCAAATTGTCAAATATAGGACTACAAGGGGAAAGGCTGTGGATTTTTATGCCCCCGCTGTAGGGGAGGGCGCATTAAGTTTTACCCTTGTCTGTCCGTACGTCCCAAAACTGGTTTCGGTTCTCTTACTTCAGTTTGCCTCAACCAAATGTTATGAAACTTATACACAATGCTTATTACCACAAAATACAGATCAAATATGAATTGTGGTGGCGTCACTTTTACCGTTCTAGAGTTTATGCCCCTTTACAAATGGAAAAATTGCTGTAGTTTGTTTCCATTCTCTAACTTTAAATTGCCTCAACCAAATGTTATGAAACTTATGCACAATGCTGATTACCACAAATCATTGATCAAGTTTGAATTTTGGTGGCGTCACTTTTACTGTTCTAGAGTTATGCCCCTTTACATTTTCGTTTCTGTCCTCTAACTTAAGTTTGCCTCAACCAAATGTTATGAAACTTATACACAATGCTTATTACCACAAAACACAGATCAAGTACAAATTTGGGTAGCGTCACTTTAAATCTCTTGAGTTATGTCCCTTTATAACGTTATATGCAAGCGGGGGCATCATCTGTGTCCCATGGACACATTCCCAATTTATTTTATAAAATTTCAATATGTTTAGCATTGAAACAGCAAAAGAGTACATTTTAGGCATTGAAGTATCAGTATTTACATGTAAGTTGTATTATGCATGGACTGTATATATATGGACAATCGAGCTTCTTTGTACAAGCATTATATATAAAAGATTGTTTGCTGACACTGATTGACAGGTAAAAAGAATGTTGTCAGCAAACAGGTTACAGTAAATGATGGTTTCTAATTGTAGAGTATTAAAATTTTCACTTTATTAACTGCGGATCCTTATAATTACCATAATTGCATATCCCTACTGTCCGAGATTTTAATGCAACATGTTATAATAAAACAAAAACAAAATTTCTTCATCTTTTCAAAAAAGAATTGTATGCATATTATGTATCTGTGCATGCATCGGTCTTTTAGTTCCTCCAGTATAAGGTTGAAGTTCTGGTTTAAGGAAGTTTACTATGAAGTTGTCACATCATTTTGAAACTAAATACAAATGTTCATTATGATGTAAACTTTTCAAAATATATACCAAATTTGAGTTTTCATTCAGATTTCATGTACACTTGTTCACATGGAAATGTGATATTGTGGATGTTGGGTAGCTGCATTGTTGACATATACCTTATATATCTTTTGGTCATGAGGACATTAGTGTCCTGTCAATCAATTATTAATTAAGGTATTTGGCTTATATAAACCTCTAGTTTTTGTATTGTAAAAAAAATCAGTTCAAAAGTTTAAGCTTAAGTCAGATTTGTTGTAGATTTATCAACAATTTATTTATCAGTGATGTATAAGCATGAAAGATTTTTTCTCTAAAGATACTTAAGCCTTATTGACATCAGTTTCAATTAGAAAATATAGAAATGTTTTGAAATGAAGGTATTTGAATTGCATTATGGTAATTGAAATATTTTGCCTAAAGAAAAAATGTAAGCTTTTAATACATTGCTGATAGACTTGGAAATATCAAAGTTTGCGTATTGATGAGATATCTAATACTACTACAAGGCTACACAATGAATTGTATGAATAAAACATTTAGAATAAACTGATGACTTTATAGTCATTTTTTTTATCAATTTGGATTAGATTTGAACCTAACTTCCTGGTCAAGGCAAAAAGGTGCTGTTTACTTTTTATTCTTAGATCACTTGAAATTGGTTTAGAAAATGTATACTTTAGAGGGTTTTAAGAATATTGTCTTCTTTTTCTACAGAAGAAGTTTGTATTTTAAAACTCTTTAATTACAAAAAAAAACAGATCATTAAAAAAAATTTAGTACCTAAGCATGATATACTTTAACAAAATCAGATTTTTATGCTTTTTTTCAATGTTTGAGAAAGTAGAGTTCTTCTGTAACTTTTGCATAGAGCAGTAAAAGCTCTATTTGTGATTATATATATTTCAACTAGATTTCAAAATTCCCCAGAATTTTTCTATGAATTATCAAAACATTATTGATCTTACTGTATTGAATAGATTTTTATTTGAGCTTGAGCTACGATTCTTCCAGATTTATATGGTTTTACATGAGCATTTGAATGTATATGTATAATTTCTCTTGTAATTACAGATCCATGGAACATCATTCTCATCATGAAAAATTCCTCTTACCTCCTCCGCCTTCACGTCAACCTCCACCCAGACCACACGTGTCTAATGGAACATTGCCAAAAAGAACCAGAGTAAGTTACTCAAATATGTTTTTTTTTTATTACTGTGAATTCTCTATTGTTCTTGGGGTACTATATTTCATGGATTTTGTGGGTTAAGGTAAACCACATATATAAGTGTTACACAAAGTACTAAATTCCTTTCTATTTGTATGCAGTTTTAATCAAAACAACAGAGTCATATATACAAGGAATACTATTTTAATTTTTTCCACAATCAGCAAAAATTGGTACACACAATGTATTAAAATCCACAGTGTTGCATATTTATACTAATAAAGAATAAACCTGAATGCTTTCTGTTAAAAAAAAATCAAAACTTATATATAAGGTCTGATTATATATGCTTTTAATTTCTATTCCATCATATGGTGAATTGGTATTTTCGGGAAAATGTCAACAAAGAGCACTGTGACAAGATTATTAATACAAAAAAAAGTGATGTGGTATGATTTTCAATGAGACAACTATCCTCCAAACTGCAAGGATATGGCCAATTACAGGTCCCAATAAAGCCTTCAACAAAAAGCAATTCAATACTGTATAGTAAGCTATAAAATGCCCTGGAATAATGAAATATGTAAAATTTCAACATGTTCAAAGAGAAAACAAAAAGCCTGATTGAGTTAAAACAATAAAGTAAAACAATTATGACAGACATCAACATACGACAACCACTGGATAATGGGTTCCTGGCTTGGGACATGTAAATAATGTGGCAGAGTTTATGAGCACTAGCCCTTTCCTGGGACAGTGGTAATGAACTTTATTTGAAGAGTTTTCCCAATATATTACAAATAATATAATTATTAAACTGTATAATTTCAGGATTACTATGGACCAGAATTTGTACACAGGTCATCTAATCCAATCATCAGGATTCCTATACCATTACAGGGAGAGGTATGGTGATGACATTTTATATCTCAATGAAAATGGTTATATTTATACATTCAAACCTGAATGGGAAATAGAATTTTGCTAAAACTGATATGATTTTATATAACCAAATTGCATTTGTGCCCTTCATTATCAGACATTATGAATATGCATCTCTGAGAATAGAAAACAACTATTGGAAAATATTTTTAAGAATATGTGTCACCATTTAAGTTCTAAAAATTATTTGGAGCATAACATTTTACTTCAATTTTTGTCAAGTCATAAATATTTATCCACTCTGAAAGCACAGAAATGTCTGGATATTTTTAATTTTTCAGCATGCCTTGTTTATTGTTTTTCAGGAATCAAAATGAATATAGGTAAACAATGATGTCGATACAGTAGATCATGAATAAATCGCTATTTTGAAAGTTTGAAGATGAGTGTATCTTTTGAAAAATTTCACAAGATTTTAATCTTGATTAATAAAGTGCAATTAATTTTGGATTTAAAAAGAAAAAGTTTGGTATGATGGACATGATGACTGTGTATGAATATGTCACAAATGGACATAGTTGGTTTATACATGTACAAAAAAGGAATTTTTTAAACTGCCTATACAAACAATTTATTTTTTTTTTATTTTTTTCAGAGTTTAAAGAACCCAACTCATGTTAGACGAGTTGTGATAGTATTGTTAACAGGACAGAAATTGGAAGCAATGTGTGATCCTAGTACAACAGGTCAACAGTTGTTTGAAGCTGTAATTACTCATGCAGAACTGCCAGAATTTTTCTTCTTTGGATTATCATATATTAATGGTATGTGTTTTAACTAGGGATGTTAACTCGGTGAAGAAATACTAATTGAGTACTCGTTAGATTTACCGAGCGATACTTGAGTACTCGCTCGGAAAAAACATCTACAAAATGGAAACACAAAATGATACCTATCTTAAGTATTGTGGGTCGTTGTCTTAAGGACGTAAAACCCTCGACATTATTACCTAGGACTAGATAATAGTCTCAGGAATTTTATACCATAATTAATAGCTCATATACTACATGAACTAATTGTGTAAACTGGCAATAATCTAATCAATTAATTAATAAACAGCTATTAAAAAATGTTTACTCAAACAACAGTATTTGTGAATCGTAAAAAAACACATTTAATGACCGACAAAGGGGTGATGGTTAGAACTTACTGATGCTTTAACCATTCTCTGAGGGTCGACGCAGGGTGCAACAAATTCGTTCTTATTTAGAAATATTATTTTTTCAACTTTTTCTGGGACGAGTCGATTTCTCAACTTTGTTACGTAACTATCAGTCCTGCTGATGAAAATATTTGCTCTGACAGTACAGAGGTGTTGGAATGACTATGACACGATTAGCTAAAAGTGTAAGCCTTGGAAAGATGCTCTTATTCATAACCTACATCTGTTCGAGGGAATTTTAAATGACAATAAAACTCAAATATTCGAAGCGTATTTTAATTTTGATTAATTTTGATTAATATTTGATTTCCCGGGACTCTTAATAAAATATTTTTTTTGTTTAAGAAGGCAACACCATTCTAACAGAAACCAATTAGTTGAGTATCATTTTGGTATTCGATACTTGGTACTACCGAGCGATACTCGAGTACTCGAGTACTCGTTGACATCCCTAGTTTTAACAGTAAAATTAAGATTCTTTGAAACAATATTAAATAAGGGAATTTGCAGACACATTCTTGTAATAAGTTCTATTTATTAAATATGTGGCTTCTATGAAAAGAAAAGTGGGTGAAATGGGGCAAAATATTTTACCCTGTATCATAGGAAAAAACCTATGGAGTCTGAACATCTGACAAAAATTCCTAATAAACCTTACCTGACTACATTCTTAGTACAATTTTTTTTTTGGGAGGAAGGGGGGGGGGGGGGGTGTCATGGGTTAACTTTACAAGTAATTTTCAGTGAAGTACATGAGGTCGACACAGTTAGGAGTTTTGAGTCCATATTGTAAATTTTGAGAGAAATAAGTTTAAATTTCAACAACTGTAGACTGTATAATTGGAATGGAAAAGTTGCAATAAACTATGACTATAAAAGTTATAAAATAACAAAATGGTCGATTAAAAGACAATCAGGTTTTGAGTAGTATTGACAATATGTGTTTATGTGAACCTGATTTTTCTTGATGAAATAAATTAATTGTTATTTAGATGGAGAACATTTCTTCATTGATGGTGACACTAAGTTGCATAAAGTAGCCCCCGAAGGATGGAAGGATGGATGGAAAGGAAACATGCCACCTCTCACATTCACTGTGTACCTTAGAATGAAGTTTTATCCAGAACATTTGGGAATGTTGAGGTACTACAAGTAAAGATGACTTTCAAATTCATTTATGCTGCCGTACATTTCCTATGTTACAATGCTTATGTTATTACGTCACAGAACCAATTGTTCAATAACTTCATGTACGCTAATTGACCTCAAGTCAACTCATTCATAAAAGCAACTCAAATTTGGTATAATAATATTTAGATATCACTATTGAAATATAGTTGAAGCTTTCTTTTTTATTGTAAACTGTAACTTGCCTCTCTTTGAACTCTTAAGACATTTATAAACAACATTTAAATAAGATGTTACATTTATTTCACATTCATATATACCATATTGTAAGGACAAGGTCAATAATCATTGAAATAATGTTAAAGAAAGTTTGATAGCTATAATGAAAATAACACCTCTACATTTTCTTGACTTAAACCTAATGAAAATAGACAAATGATCACCATGGCAAGTTCTTTAGCAGTACAAGATTAAAACAGAGAAACAATACATAATCTCATACTGTTATGAGAATTGTTGATTTTGAGAAGAAGTCTTTTAATGTGAAATATAAGAGGTTAATTATTATCTCTATATATTGCATATATTGATAATGCTGAGCCTTAAAAACTGTAATTTCTTACCTTTAAACATTTTCTGCTGTAGACACAGTGTATCAAGACATCAGCTATACCTACAGTTACGGCATGATTTGTTGGAAGAACAATTACTCTGTAACGATGAGAAAACCCTGGCCCTCTCTGGGGTAGCAATACAGGCTGAGTATGGAGATTATGACCAAGAGACAATGGGCAAGAACTACTTCATACCAGAGCATTATTATAGTGGGCGTGTCATCAAACAAGTGGGCGTCGGCTACATCAGAGATAACACAGCTGATTCCCATTGTAAATATACAGGACTATCACAGACACAAGCTGAAGTGGAATTCATAAAGGTTTGTTGTTGATTTTCTTATCCATTTATACAGTTGTTTACATATATATTAACTCTTACTTAAAATAGAAAATATTATATGAATACATTGCTAGGTTTTGACTGTATAGATACTTGCTTGTGTTATAAGACCTTCAAAACTAGTTAGCACTAAAGAAAAAGTATTGCTTATCAGAAAATATTCCTTCTTCATGTTAATATACTACTATAGATCCATTATTCTCTTAACTCTTTACAGATGAGCCAACAACTACCAGAATATGGTGTCCATTTTCATAAATTGCTGAAGGTATGACCTACATATTCTATAAACAATAGTTAGATTGCTGAATGATTATATTAAGAATATAGACGCACTGAAACTTGATATATATATGTTCTGGTAAGATATTGATGTAAAGCTTTATTTTTATTGGTACATACTATATACAAAAGCCAAATGAAAGTCCATCTAGTATTAATAAAATTAGCACAAGGTTATAGATAAATTGCTGACCGGAAGATGTGGAGGAAAAGTCAATGAACACTATGTACAAATGTACATTGTATTGTAACATTCATAGAGTGAAACATATTTCTACAGATTTTACTGTAAACATTTTCAGAATAAGAATGACTCCAACAGTTTGACATGGGTCGGCATTACTGTAAAGTGTTTAGTGTTGGCAGAGAATCATGGGATACAGAGAAACATTACGCATCAGCTTGGTTGGCATACCATCATGAAAATCTCATTTAATAAACGTAGATTTAGCGTTCAGCCCAAACCTGACTTAGGACAAATCAAACCACCAAAGATCAATTACTTCACTAATAGCTTCAGAAAGTAAGTGTCAGCTACAATAGCAAGATCCAATTTATATGAGATTATTATTTAAATCTGAAATAAAATATAACAAGATTAAGTTACAGTTATTATGGGAATTTTTTTTAAAGTGCTTATTTAAATGTGATATATAATGTTTTATCCTATATAAATAGCATATGTAATTCTTTCAAAGCATGTTTTCTTGGCACACATTGGTATAAGTTTTATCATTTTACACCATGATGCCATTAAATGGATAATTGGATATCCTGATTTATCATGCCGTACAGTGCTAGTGAAATTGATGAAAGATCCCCTCCTAAGTTATTGAAAGCTATCATTTTCCATTAATCATAATATCATTGTTTAATTTAGCTATAGATACACTTAATCAGGTTAATGCCCTTATATGTGTATGTAATGAAAACATTTTAAAATATGACAGTTATACTAAAAATATACAGAAACCTTATAACTAACTTACTTGGATTAATTTTGTTACAGAGGTAGATACTTGTTACAGTTCTCAACAGCACAACATAGATTCCAGTTAAAGATGCGGGCAAGAGAAACTAACCCTGATCTGCATGGTATGACGCTAATTTTTATATATAAAAGTAGAATTCATTGTTGATATATGGAAACTGACACTTCAGTCTTATGGAGAAAATGAAAAGACAGTAAATATTATAAAATAAGAGATATAATGCATGGATATACAAGATATCAGGGCAAAGGTAGACAACTGTGTCTGCACAGATTCAAGTCGAGCTGTCATTAATGGGTGATGTAACAACTGAGCACTTTTCAGTTATTTTAGTTACCAAAACAAAAATTTAATTCAATAATATTTTTGTGAAATCTCAAATAATTGGTAATTGAAAACTGTTCACAATTTTCTCCCCACTTTTGTTTCATCTGGTTGAAAATTCCATGAACTCTAGCACTCAAAAGGCGAGCAGGTACCTTCACAATTATTGCTTCCCTGCAAACTAATTTTTTTCCTGTAGATTATTGATTTTTTATTGTTCCTTGTTTATGTGCTGAAGATAAAGATAATTGAATGTTCCCATATGATTTCTACCAATGCATCTCATTCAAGGACTTTACCTTATGTGCTGTAGATAAAGATAATTGAATGTTACCATATGATTTCTACCAATGCATCTCATTCAAGGACTTTACCTTATGTGCTGTAGATAAAGATATTTGAATGTTCCCATATGATTTCTACCAATGCATCTCATTCAAGGACTTTACCTTATGTGCTGTAGATAAAGATATTTGAATGTTCCCATATGATTTCTAGCAATGCATCTAATTCAAGGACTTTACCTTATGTGCTGTAGATAAAGATATTTGAATGTTCCCATATGATTTCTACCAATGCATCTCATTCAAGGACTTTACCTTATGTGCTGTAGATAAAGATAATTGAATGTTCCCATATGATTTCTACCAATGCATCTCATTCAAGGACTTTACCTTATGTGCTGTAGATAAAGATATTTGAATGTTCCCATATGATTTCTACCAATGCATCTCATTCAAGGACTTTACCTTATGTGCTGTAGATAAAGATAATTGAATGTTCCCATATGATTTCTACCAATGCATCTCATTCAAGGACTTTACCTTATGTGCTGTAGATAAAGATAATTGAATGTTCCCATATGATTTCTACCAATGCATCTCATTCAAGGACTTTACCTTATGTGCTGTAGATAAAGATAATTGAATGTTCCCATATGATTTCTACCAATGCATCTCATTCAAGGACTTTACCTTATGTGCTGTAGATAAAGATAATTGAATGTTCCCATATGATTTCTACCAATGCATCTCATTCAAGGACTTTACCTTATGTGCTGTAGATAAAGATATTTGAATGTTCCCATATGATTTCTACCAATGCATCTCATTCAAGGACTTTACCTTATGTGCTGTAGATAAAGATATTTGAATGTTCCCATATGATTTCTACCAATGCATCTCATTCAAGGACTTTACCTTATGTGCTGTAGATAAAGATAATTGAATGTTCCCATATGATTTCTACCAATGCATCTCATTCAAGGACTTTACCTTATGTGCTGTAGATAAAGATAATTGAATGTTCCCATATGATTTCTACCAATGCATCTCATTCAAGGACTTTACCTTATGTGCTGTAGATAAAGATAATTGAATGTTCCCATATGATTTCTACCAATGCATCTCATTCAAGGACTTTACCTTATGTGCTGTAGATAAAGATAATTGAATGTTCCCATATGATTTCTACCAATGCATCTCATTCAAGGACTTTACCTTATGTGCTGTAGATAAAGATAATTGAATGTTCCCATATGATTTCTACCAATGCATCTCATTCAAGGACTTTACCTTATGTGCTGTAGATAAAGATAATTGAATGTTCCCATATGATTTCTACCAATGCATCTCATTCAAGGACTTTACCTTATGTGCTGTAGATAAAGATATTTGAATGTTCCCATGTGATTTCTACCAATGCATCTCATTCAAGGACTTTACCTTATGTGTTGTAGATAAAGATAATTGAATGTTCCCATATGATTTCTACCAATGCATCTCATTCAAGGACTTTACCTTATGTGCTGTAGATAAAGATAATTGAATGTTCCCATATGATTTCTACCAATGCATCTCATTCAAGGACTTTACCTTATGTGCTGTAGATAAAGATATTTGAATGTTCCCATATGATTTCTACCAATGCATCTCATTCAAGGACTTTACCTTATGTGCTGTAGATAAAGATAATTGAATGTTCCCATATGATTTCTACCAATGCATCTCATTCAAGGACTTTACCTTATGTGCTGAAGATAAAGATAATTGAATGTTCCCATATGATTTCTACCAATGCATCTCATTCAAGGACTTTACCATTACACAGGAATCATGTCTATGTGTATAATTTATTTTCAGACATGTTAGATACTACAGATATGAAAAAGGACAATGATGAAGATGTTTCATTTGTACCTGAGTTCTTACAGGTAATTCAATCTCATTTGTGTCTGTCAACATTGTTATTCTAGTTATATCTAATTAGGTGTAAATGTCTATTAAGATTATAATAAAACAAACTACTACAATTTTACAGGTCAATTATCATATGATTTTGTGGTAAATCAATCGAATAGATAATCTGAAAAAATTATGGTAATTCAATTAAAATATACTGGGTTAACTTAATTATTAAATTTACCAACTGTGGTGGTGCATAAGAGGTGAGAGCCCTTACATTATCATAAATGTCAGTGGAGTTGGAACTGCTTCAGGACCTTGGAATTTGCATAAATCATTAGTTGGTTGTTTATAAAAAAAAAAAACCAATGACTGTCATCATACTGATATGTAGAAAACATTTTTTTTTTTAACCATCTTATAACAAGTAGACCATTTTCTGTCCTCCTTTCTTGGTTCCTTTTAAATGTAAATTTTGATAAAAAAAAAATAATAGTAATTATGATATTGACTTGTAAAATATTTGATGATTTAGGTGAAATTTATCTTTTATGGTCAAAGTTTAGAATCATAAAACAGTTTCGTTTTGTTGATTGTAGGAAAGTTTTACCAGTGATGATGAAACACAACACAAATCTGATCCTTTACCCTATAGATTGTAAGTATTTCAGTCTGTGATAATATCATAGTGCCATATGGTTTTGTTCTGGGTTATTTTGAATAGTTATTAGTTCAGAATAATCTTGTCAGCATGAATTTGGTTCCCTACAATTTCTTTGCAAAATGTTTTAAGTAATTTACATGTTGTTAAAGCTGTTTGAACTAAAATATATATGTTTTTGCATGTCATATCTGATCATGTTTATGTATTGTTCTCAAAAATCTATGTAGTTCTTATTTTTGTAATAAAATTTGTTCTAATACTAGTATGCATTTAAAAAAAAATTAACTTTGTAGCATGTTTTATGACTTAATCTTAAAAACTGGATGTTGAGGATTTTACTTATTAGAATTTATCAAACTTTCTTAGAATCTTCAACTTATAATGCCATTGTGCAACTCCTGTTTCATTTTTTATTTGAACTATTTTTGGGGTTTCCCTTATTAAAAAAATCCTGGACTATGCCATTGCTTTAAACTGGGGAGTTACCATATTTGTATCTGCAAGTCTTCATAAACCCTTTATTAGAATTTATTGAATCTTTCTCAGAAACTTCCCATAGAATGCCATTGGTCACTTTTTATCATGTTTTTTTGTGAAATATAGTTTTTGAGTTTTCCATAATCAAATCATAAACTATGCCATTGATTTTTGTTTGGAGCAGGGATATCATTCATAAAAATTTGCTTGCAGTACCTCTAGATGTGTTTGTTATGCTCATATGATGCTATAAGAATAATAAAAATACCTAAAATTAGATTATTATATACGATTTGAAAAATATGTGAAAGGGAAGTTTCGTTCTTGATTTATTTCTCTATGAAGAGCTTTGAAATATCTGACAGGAGTCAAAGGACACAATGTCCTGTTGAAACAATGTTATTTTTATTTAGAAAAATAGACCACAAAAATTATGAAAATATAAAAAAACTTACAAAAAGTAGAAATCAAGAAAAAGCAACTGTGGATGAAGATTTAACAGTTAATCTTTTTGTATCTCTTATATACTTACTGTGGATGAGGTCAAATTTTCTAGAATCTTGTAAACTGTTACTAAAAATAAGCATTTTGATTGCATGTGTTACTGTTCTTTGCATGTTTGATCAGGCCTCCGCCATATAAAACAGATACCAGTATAAGTATGTTGGATTTGCGACCACCCCGTCATACAGGGGAACGATTGCATGCTGCATCTATGAGTGATATACATTCAGCTTTACAAAAGGATGGAGAAATTGAGGCTTACGTAATAGGTAGGACAGGATTGTTAAGTTTATAGATTCTTCACCAATAAATTAATAATAATTTGTATGACATACATATGCTGAAATGATTACAGAAAATTCTTAAGTACAGATTAACAGTTTTAAAAGTTTCTCGTTTGTGAACAAGACAATCAGTTGAAAAAAAGATGCCATAGCAGTGCTTATTTTGTATTTCTGAAAATATTATTAAAAGCTGCAAACCTATTGCTCATTGTTGAAAACTCTGCAGCAACCTATAGTTGCTCACATATGCATCATTTTGTATCGGGCCGATAGTTGTCTTTTTGGCAATCATACCACCTCTCCTTATTTATACATGTACTAATGTTTCCATATGCATAATTGACAGAAACAATTATCTCATTTATACAGATAAATAATTGAAAAGAAAATGTTATATGGATTAAAACTATTAAGCATTATGAAAAGTATAAATTGTCATAAAACTAGAGTATAATGTAAATGTAATGTGATGTTTTTCAGAGCCGAGCAGCCAGTCCCTGGATATGGCAGCATCACCTGCTAATGAAACCATTAATTGTAAGTATCATTATCAATGATGAGTTTGTTTTAAGCAAAATTACTTACTGCTCAAGATTGACATGGATTTAATTTCATTGTTTAAAATATTTTGGTTACTCAAATTAATGTTAGATAGTAAAAATTGGTATAGACTTTAAGTACACAGAAAAATAATAAGTTAAAGTGTCTTTATCTCACTCAAAAAACATGATTACTGTTGCATGTTCAGTTTTTAAAATGTTGAGTAGAGCTTATTTTGTGTCTGTTTTTGTTACAAGGCGACTAAAAAAAAGCTTATTGTTTTTTCTTCATCGGACTATTTAGATATTTGATGATTTTGATGTTACTGAACACATATAAATATAAATTTATGTACAGATATCTTGAAGATTGCTTTGAAAATGCACAATACTGCTTATAGCTGACTATGCGGTATGGGCTTTGCTCATTGTTGAAGGCTGTACAGTACCTATAGTTGTTAATTTCTGTGTCATTTGGTCTCTTGTGGAGAGTTGTCTCATTATTATTTCTTCTTATTTTTATATTAGCTTAATTTTTCAGTCAAAGCCTTGTCCATAATCGGCCTATGAATGAGTTTTTATTCATTAAAGAACTAGAAATGAGTGTATGATGGAATTGTAAAAGGGGTCGCAATTGATTATTTTAAATCAAGAAAATAATATAAATACTAAATAAAAACTGCATCAAAGAGCTGACAACTTAGTTCTCCAGACATTATATAAATATTTTTAGAAATACAAAAGGAACTGCTGATGTTTTATGTTTAATCTATTTATTTATTTTCTTTTTAGCAACACTACAGCACAGATTTGACAATGAGCTTCTTTCTCCAGAAAAACATAATAGCGGCAGAATATTTGAAGTTGTTCTGGAAAAAGAACCTCAGTTTGGGATTGGCATCACCATAGTAGGCGGTGAAAACCCCAACAAAATAGACCTGGGAATTTTTGTGAAGACAGTCACACCTGGCGGACCAGCTGACAAAGATGGGCGAATTTGTCCAGGGGACCGCTTGCTTGCTATCAACGACCAAACTATTGAAGAAATGCAACAAGCAGTTCAGCTGATCCGTGAGGCTAAAAACTTTGTGAAATTATGCGTATGTCAGATAAAAGCTCCCAGGTCTGTACGCAGGAAAATATGTGATGATGTCATCTCGACCAAGTTAAAACAGTCTATGGCTGATCCATCAGACATTCTCATTTATCATGAAAATATAAACCCATTGCATGACGATTCCGATGAAAGCTTTGATGATGATGATGTATATAATTTACCTCATACTAATGTATATACCGATGTACAGACCGATGTACAGACAGATATACATACTGATGTACATACTGATGTACATACTGATGTACATACTGCTGATGTATCTACTATGTCACAGATAGAATCTATAAAAAGTGAAATTGTGGAAACAGAAAGCCCACAACAGTATGCCCCATGTAATACTGGTAAGTACTGACCGAGCTGAGAACAAAAATTAGATTGAGGGGTTACTGTGGATTCATTTATTTTAATGGATACCATTTTTTGTGGATTGAGGAAACTGACATTTTTCATGGTTATTTAATTTCATGGTTTTGCTAAAATCTACCTACATTTATATGGAAAATTTGTATTTCGTTGAACATTTAAATTTTTGGTTCCCCTGTTCTCACCAATGTATCCACAGTAATTTATTCTGTAACAATTAAAAACTTTCTGTTAATGTTTTATTCTTCTTCAAGTAATATTTCTTTAACCAATCTTTGCAATATCTCATCTTATATTCCTTTCCTCTACTTTTAAATGAAGAATAGAAGATGTAAGTGAAATTTATAAAAAAAGAAAAATTTTCATTGATATATTTGAGTTAATGATTGCAATAATGGATAGCCTTTCCAATACAATTTCAACAAAAAATACACAATGTGAAATAAAAACCACATGATTTTTGTATATCTGTTTTTTGTAGTGATTGAATCTGATACAGATTCAGACTTTGACCAAGCTATAGAATGTGTACAGGAAGAAAAGCCATTAAAAGAAGTCCCACAAAAGAAAGTTGTTGCTGAACCAGTACTCAAGTAAGGATTAAGATAGTTGTGTTACCGGAGAGCATGATTTATATTACAAAATCACTTCATCTACTCTGGGACTCAACCCTTGGACCTCCGTGTTGCAAGGCAGCGCTTTAACCAACTGAGCTAAAGAAGTACATAATCAGCTCAACCTCTTACGGCTGGCTAAGTATCTGCTACATGTACTAAGGGAAGCAATCTAGTCACAGTTATATTCTCCCATTACATCATTGGAAGTCTGTCTGTTGTCATTTCCAATTGGTTTATGAAGTTATATATTGACAATGATATAGAGAGAGTTTGCAGTTAAAAAGTTGTTGCTATGTTACTTGAAAGTGAAAAAGAAAATTATTTATAAGAAGAAATGAAATTTTATTGATTGAATAATGGCTGTAATGAAATAATGGAGTAATTCATAATGCAGACTCAAGAGTAATTTGTGTTCAATGTTTAATAATCGGATGATTGAAATTCAGAAGCACATAATGTGATAGTACTTTTATCTGTGGGTATCAATTTTCGTGGTTTGAGCAAAATTTACATGTTCATGGGTTATTAAATTTGTGGATTTTAGTTTCTTGCTTACAAATTGTCTCAATTGAAGGAAATTGCAAAGTAAACATTTAATTGTTGCACACGTCACACTGTTATCAGAAGTGATGACACTAGTTAACCCGAGATTGAATGATCAACAGATTAACGATCATCAATGGGGTTAATTGGGCCTTAAAAATGCCACAAATGTACTTTGAATTGTAGAATTAATTCTAATGAAATGAAAAAGCAAGCCAAAGATAAGGATCATGAGGAGATGACATGAACACTTCATCATTGCATATCATTTTCAGAAGTCTGACTTTCATCGATCCAAGCTAGTTTTTCATAAGAATTTTAGTTTACTTTTTTTATTAAGATTAAATGATTAAAATCCTATCTGAAGTTGTTTATATAGTTCATAGTGCGTTTACTGATATTCGATGTATTCTCTAGATTATATGCCAGTTTCCATGTGTCAAACCAACATTGGGATCTTTCCATGTCTTGATTTGGACAACAGTTGTTATATTTCGTTGGACACTTAAATTCGTGAATAAAGCCATCCACGAAAACCACAAAAATTGGTACCCCATGAATAAAAGTACTTTCACAGTAATTGTTCCTTCTATTCAGTTCTCAAGTTTGGTAATCCACGTTTCCGTTTTGTTACATATTTTTAAATTATGAACTTTTATTTGTTAAAATTATCTATTGGATTGGCATTTAAGTTTGTAACAATGAAATCATAAAGTTTCACAAATATAGAAAATGACTTTTGTTAAGACTCCTGTATTCTATATAATAATTCTTTGCATATATTACAGAGAAAGAAAAGAGTCTATAGAAAGTTATGAAGTATATTTGACAAAAAAAGATGGCAGCTTTGGATTGAATGTCACAGTAAGTGACAACTATTTATCACATCTTAATCTCATGCTCAAATCAATTACACATTTAATTATCTAAATTTGCGTGGTGAAAAAGTGTGTGCAGATTATACATAAATACAAATTATACACAACTTTTTTGAGATAATTTGCCAAACTAGAAAAACAATTACATAAATTTCAAGTGACAGTGACTGATTTAAAATTTATACTTTAGTAAAATTTTCCATATTTTGTAATACAGGGTGGAATAAATACTACAGTTAGACATGGTGGAATTTATGTGAAGTCATTTATACCTGATGGTGCTGCTGAAACTGATGGTACCATACACAAAGGTTAGTTCTGTAATGAGGTTCACTCTTATGTCAGCTTTGTGAACTGTAATTTGACAAAGTTTATTGAATTTAAAGAGGAATATGAAATGACTTATGAATATGACAGTTTGGTGAAATATTGGGAGATTACCAAATGCATCGAATATCTCTTCAACTAGATGATATTTTGTAAATGATAATTGTAAATACTGTGGATTCATTATTATTCGTTGGATACCAATTTTCGTGGATTTCGTGGTTACCAGTTAACCACGAAATTAAATGTTCAACGAATAACAAAATGTCTATAGGCTTGTTAGCAGACTTCGGTAAAACCACGAAATTAAATTTCCACAAACATGTAAGTTTTCCTTAATCCACGAAAATTGCTACCCACGAAAATAAATGAATCCACAGTAAAACGATTCCTTTTACCTAGGTGATAGAATACTAGAAATTAATGGTAAAAGTCTGGTTGGTGTGACCCACAAACAAGCTGTTGAGATTATCAGGGATGCTACTGAGAGCTGCTTGTTAGTGATGGAGAGAGGACATTCTCTATCATCAAGAAGTTCTGTGAAGTCATCTAGATCTTCTGCAGGGTCTACTGGCCAGCCTGGTACTAAGGATATGACTGACGTGAACGTATCACCTCCAGTAGCTGATCAGATGTTGACAACAAACTCTAATACTGACAGTATGGATGGCAGTGGTACAGGGAGTAATGCATCGGAAACTGATTCTAAAAGCAAAGCATATCCATTTGTTGATGCTGGTAAGACATGGTGGTAGATCTGCCATACACCCTTTACCCAACCCTATTTTTGGTTCATTTTTTTAAAACTCAATTTAAAAACTAAACATGCTATATATTAAGCTTGAAAGTTCCCCTTTAAAGCAAAAAGAACACAAAATGAAACAGAAAGTTTTCCTTTCTGGTGAAAAAATTTGATACAAAGAATTGTCTTGTCTCAGGTTTTGCTTGTCCCACATTCAAAACTATTATATGTTGCTCAAATCTGATGCAATCTAAATTTTAGCTACTGGTTTTAAATGTATACCCTGCTTACCTTGTTGATTGAGAGAAAAAATATCAATTTGGCAAACATGAAACAGACCTGCAATATGTTTGAAACCCAATCATACAGTAAAAAAAAAAATATTTTGAAATTTGTCAATATCCTTTACATGTTGGAAACAGGTATTAAAATAAGTAGGTCAGTGTGCTGTATAGAATTAATTTGCTCTTTTAAATAGCATTACATGCCTTGTCTGTATGATTTTGAACAGTTCATTTTGATGTTGACTTTATTTGTTGTTTTTGACAAAGTTTGTTTCTGCCCTGATTGTGAGCACATACGTGTTATCTTGTGTGTGAAGTTTACTTGTATATTAACTTACCTTACAGATAACACCTTAGAAGTTGATTTAGTGAAAGGAAATAGTGGTTTGGGGTTTAGTGTACTAGGTGTGCAGGATGCACCCATTGGTGACCCATCACATGGACTACCAAGAATAAAGAAGATATTCCCACTAGGAGCAGCAATGGATTCTGGGAAGTTAGAAGTAGGAGATGTGATATTAGAAGTGAACGGTCAGTCTGTCAAGGATTTATCTCATGCAGTAAGTAGGAAGAAATGATCATATATATCCCTACATTTAGGTCTACATAAGTTTTTGTAATGAGCTGCATTTGCATATATTAGATGCCCTTGCATCTTAAAAATTATTTATTTAAACTAATTTGAATGCCTGGGTTGTACTGAGAATTAACAAAAAAAATCGAAATATGAAGAAGCCTTTTATACTCAATTTAAAAAAAAAATGTTTTAAAAATATGTGAAATTTTTCGTTAAGAATGAAAAGAAAAAACTCTAAGAGGAAAATTATTGGATTTTTATACGACCGCAAAAATTGAAAATTTTTTGGTCGTATATTGGTATGACGTTGGCGTCGTCGGCGTCGTCGTCGTCGTCGTCGTCGTCGTCGTCGTCGTCGTCGTCGTCGTCCGAAGACACATTGGTTTTCGCACTCTAACTTTAGTTTAAGTGAATGGATCTCCATGAAATTTTACCATAAGGTTCAATACCATGAAAGGAAGGTTGGGATTGATTTTGGGGGTTATGGTACCAACAGTTAAGGAATTAGGGGCCAAAAAGGGGCCAACAATAAGCATTTTTGTAACTTCCAGACAATAACTTGTGTGTAAGTGTATGGATCTCTCTGACATTGTACCACAAGGTTCCATATCACAAAGGGAAGACTGTAATTGATTTTGGGGGTAATTGCCTCAAAATGTTAGGAATTAGGGGCCAAAAAAGGGGCAAAAAACAAGCATTTTTCTAGTTTCATGACAATAACTTGTGTGTAAGTGTTTGGATATTTCTGAAATTGTACTACAAGGTTCCATATCACAAAGGGAAAGCTGGAATTGAGTTTGGGGGTAATTGCCCGAAACGTTTGGGAATTGGGGGCCAAAAAGGGGCCAAAAATAAGCATTTTTCTAGTTTCCAGACAATAACTTGTGTTCAAGTGTATGGATCTCTCTGAAATTGTACTGCAAGGTACCATACCACAAAGGGAAGGCTGAGATTGAGTTTGGGGGTGATGAATCATAAGGGGGTTCAATAAATTTTGGGGGGGGATTTTTTTTTTTCCTCTTTTTTTTTTCTTTTTTTCCTTTTTTTTTTCTTTTAAAATTTTCCATTTTAAGTTGGTTATTTCTGATTTATATTTAAAAGCAAATAATAATGATATGGTAGGAGATACACACCAAACAGGATGTGTAAATTATTATATAATAAGTATTGTGCAATAGCAAGAAATTTTCAATTGCACAGTATTGCACAATAGCAAGAAATCTTCAATTGCACAGTATTGCGCAATAGCAAGAAATCTTCAATTGCACAGTATTGCGCAATAGCAAGAAATATCCAATAGCACAATATTGCGCAATAGCAAGAAATTGTCAATTGTACAGTATTGCGCAATAGCAAGAAATAATCAATTGCACAGTATTGTGCAAAAGAAGATACTTCGTATAAATTGCTTATTTCTTGATCAATTTCAATGGGGTTTTATTCTTGAATTCTTGGGGTTCTTTAATATGCTGAATCTAACCGTGTATTAAGTTTTTGGATTTTGGGCCCCGTTTTTAAATTGGTCCACATTGAGGTCCAAAGGGTCCAAAATTTAACTTTGTTTGATTTCATCAAAAATTGAATTATTGGGGTTCTTTGATATGCCGAATCTAACCGTGTATTTAGATTCTTAATTTTTGGTTCTGTTTTCAAATTGGTCTACATAAAGGTCCAAAGGGTCCAAAATTAAACTTAGTTTGATTTCAACAAAAATTGAATATATGGGGTTCTTTGATATGCTGAATCTAACCATGTATTTAGATTTTTGATTATGGGCCCAGTTTTCAAGTTGGTCCAAATCGGGGTCCAAAATTAAACTTTGTTTGATTTCAACAAAAATTGAATATATGGCGTTCTTTGATATGCTGAATCTAACCATGTATTTAGATTTTTGATTATGGGCCCAGTTTTCAAGTTGGTCCAAATCGGGGTCCAAAATTAAACTTTGTTTGATTTCAACAAAAATTGAATATATGGGGTTCTTTGATATGCTGAATCTAACCATGTATTTAGATTTTTGATTATGGGCCCAGTTTTCAAGTTGGTCCAAATCGGGGTCCAAAATTAAACTTTGTTTGATTTCAACAAAAATTTAATATATGGGGTTCTTTGATATGCTGAATCTAACCATGTATTTAGATTTTTGATTGTTGGGCCCCGTTATCAACTTTGTCCACATTGAGATCAAAAGGGTCCAAAATTAAACTTTGTTTGATTTCATCAAAAATTGAATATATGGGGTTCTTTGATATGCTGAATCTAACCATGTATTTAGATTTTTGATTATGGGCCCAGTTTTCAAGTTGGTCCAAATCGGGGTCCAAAATTAAACTTTGTTTGATTTCAACAAAAATTGAATATATGGGGTTCTTTGATATGCTGAATCTAACCATGTATTTAGATTTTTGATTATGGGCCCAGTTTTCAAGTTGGTCCAAATCGGGGTCCAAAATTAAACTTTGTTTGATTTCAACAAAAATTGAATATATGGGGTTCTGTAATATGCTGAATCTAACCATGTATTTAGATTTTTGATTGTTGGGCCCCGTTATCAACTTTGTCCACATTGAGATCAAAAGGGTCCAAAATTAAACTGTGTTTGATTTCATCAAAAATTGAATATATGGGGTTCTTTGATATGCTGAATCTAACCATGTATTTAGATTTTTGATTATGGGCCCAGTTTTTAAGTTGGTCCAAATCGGGGTCCAAAATTAAACTTTGTTTGATTTCAACAAAAATTGAATATATGGGGTTCTTTGATATGCTGAATCTAACCATGTATTTAGATTTTTGATTATGGGCCCAGTTTTCAAGTTGGTCCAAATCGGGGTCCAAAATTAAACTTTGTTTGATTTCAACAAAAATTGAATATATGGGGTTCTGTAATATGCTGAATCTAACCGTGTATTAAGTTTTTGGATTTTGGGCCCCGTTTTTAAATTGGTCCACATTGAAGTCCAAAGGGTTCAAAATTTAACTTTGTTTGATTTCATCAAAAATTGAATTATTGGGGTTCTTTGATATGCCGAATCTAACCGTGTATTTAGATTCTTAATTTTTGGTTCCGTTTTCAAATTGGTCTACATAAAGGTCCAAAGGGTCCAAAATTAAACTTAGTTTGATTTTAACAAAAATTGAATTTTTAGGGTTCTTTGATATGCTGAATCTAAACATGTATTTAGATTTTTGATTATGGGCCCAGTTTTCAAGTTGGTCCAAATCGGGGTCCAAAATTAAACTTTGTTTGATTTCAACAAAAATTGAATATATGGGGTTCTTTGATATGCTGAATCTAACCATGTATTTAGATTTTTGATTTTTGGGCCCTGTTATCATTTTTGTCAACATTGAGATCAAAAGGGTCCAAAATTAAACTTTGTTTGATTTCATCAAAAATTGAATTCTTGGGGTTCTTTGATATGCTGAATCTAACCATGTATTTAGATTTTGGATATTGGACCATAATAGGTGAATGTCCAATTTAAAATTTTTAAGTTCTTAGACCACATTCATTCTGTGTCAGAAACCTATGCTGTGTCAAATATTTAATCACAATCCAAATTCAGAGCTGTATCAAGCTTGAATGTTGTGTCCATACTTGCCCCAACTGTTCAGGGTTCGACCTCTGCGGTCGTATCAAGCTGCGCCCTGCGGAGCATTTTATTTTATGTTATATTGGACTTGGTCACCTTGAAAATCATACTTGTTAGCTAGCAGCCCTATGGCCAAGGCTTCCAAAACGGTCATATATGCCGGACATTTGTATAATGTCCGGTAAAAGTCCGGCTGGGCAAAGCATGAAACGGTCATCTACTTTTTAGTTTTCAAGGCTTTAAGAGACGGTCATTTTAACATAATTCGCGATCTTTTTGACCCAACATTTCCGGTCATAAAAGTGACATGATCATTAAGTACTATCAAAACAACCCCTACTTTAATGCCTTCTCATTTTAATCAAGGCTAATTAGTTGTCAAACAGCTGAAATTTACCTGTTCAGGTGACAGGTAAACTATTTTGAACCGGACATTGATCGGTCTATTCAAAGTTATTTTCTTACATTTCAGCGGTTTCAACTTTGCATCTAATTAATTTAGCCAAAAAGATTTAAATTATCAGAAATACGTTTACAAATATGATTTGATGAAAAAATTCAAAAGGTGAAAATGAAAAATTGTCATAACCACGTTGTTTGAACCTAGAGACATGTCTCTGTTTGAACTAGTACACGTGTGCGCATGTGCGCAGGTGTGAAATTTAATTATGCATCCTTATTTCTTCAAAAAATGCTTAAATTGTCATTGATACCTTTATCTCACGTTTATTTCGAATATTTTCTTGAAGAAATAACGTAGAAAGAGCTACTTCCATCCATTGATCTTCATTCACGCTTTGCAAACGTACACGGAATTTACGTATCCGTCTCTGGTCCATGTTTTACTATTGTCAAGATAACATCCGGTATAAAAACGAAAGTAAAGTTTTTGACAACGTTATTTTGCACAAATAAAGAGTCTAAGGCAGATATAAGTACGCTGATGTTGCACACTTCGAATGATGCACTGCCAATTTAACAGTTTACGTCAGAACTTCGAATTTGAATCAAAGAAAGTTTAATATCATTTTTTTTAATGTCAATCATTGGGATGGCCAACTCGGCAACTGATTACCATAAAAGGCATAATTGCCTTTTGTTTATTTAGTCTTAAGGGATTAAAATCAGGATAATATATAAAATATCCGGCTGGCTAAAAATAATTTTGGAAGCCCTTCCTATGGCATGAAAGTTCAGTTCAGGTCAGAAATATTTCGAGATATTTTTTTTAGTGTACAAATAAATACACCACAAGTTTTTGTTTTGTTTCATATTCAGGGTACTTAATTAAGAAGTTAGATGTCCCCCAGTTGGTATAATGACAAAAAAATGCCAGTAAATACTGTTGTTTTGAGAATGCTCATAAACAAAAATGTCCATTCAAAGTGTCACAAAACAGTTTTCACATAAATATTATGTCAAGACTGAAAAAAAGCATGAACTGTATAAATATTAACCAAAGGACTCCCACCTTCTATAATCATTCTGTATAAGTAGAATTAAAGCCTGTTCTGTTTATTTTATACCAATCATGTTATTGTTCAGTTATACCTGTTTGCATGTAAGTGCCTGAACTTTTTATTTTGGTATAGCATGGTTTTTAGGAAATAGATGTGGATTAGTTGTAGAAAAAATACAAATGGACTGATAATTTTACTGTTCAAAATACTAATCATTGGTAATTGAATATTTTCAAATAAATGCACATACTAATTGTTAGTCACTAAAAATAATTTTCAGAAGCATCTTGCATCTTGCAGATTAAGTTTCTTTTTGAAAATTTCTGTTGACATCAGTGCATTTTGATGAGTTTTTCACAAAAAGATAAACAGAAATATTTCATTCATGATTAATTTTCAGGGAACTATGGCCACATTACGCACAGCTGCGTCTAATGTAAAATTATTGATATGTAGACCTACCTCTGAGCAGTTAGCTCCCCTTAATCGATTTGTAAGTACGGTTTGTAGAGTGTGCCGTGCCTTCACTTGTAGTGCTTCAGATTATTTTAATATTTACACTTAGTTTGCAAAAACACAAAATTTTGAAAAGATATTTTTATTTTACTTATTTGATCTCATGAAGTTTAATATTTTTTAAATAATTATAACCTGGTTGAAAATTAGTTAAAAAAATTAGTGAGAATAATTTTGAAGAGTAATTTATTAATTAATGTAGGCAGTCTAAAATATATTTATATGGAATTAAGAATTAACCATTATATATGCATGTTCTAACCATAGATAGAGAAGTGTGACTTGACAAGTTTTGGTCTGCTATATGACAAATATAGAGGCATGCTGCAAGTATAGTATCTCCTTAGTTTGTAGTAACACGGTAGCGGGCAGTGATTTTATTTTTGGACAATTTTTTATCACAATTTTAAGATAACTGCTCAATCATTTTCCTTTACAGCTAGATGATAGAATAGATTTATGTTTAATTTAATTACTTAATTTAAAATACTGTTTTTGTCACAGAATAGATAATGTTTTAAGAATGCATGATTTCCTGTAGTTATGATTAGTTTGTAATTTATATAAAATTGATGTATTATTACTGTGTCTGCAGATGAACCTAATTTGCTTAATTACATTTTAATGTCATACCAATCCTGAGTTTATATTCTATATCAATCCATGTTTGTATCTGTATTTTATTTGATTATCAAATCCATGATCTGTTACCTAACCGTTCGTTAGTTAAACTCTTTGAAAAACATTGAAATCTTATTGCAGTTTTTGTAGTGTGTTTTTACATTGATTTTTATCTACTTCACACAATGGATTTTTTGCTGTTTTTGAACACACACAGTTGTTATTTTGCATGATATTCTTTCACTTTACACATCATACTGTGAACATACAAAAGCACCGGAATCTCAACTGCAATCATGATTTGTGTCTTCAATTTTAAATTTTGATTTAAGAAAAAATCTTCAACTTACATAAATTAAAATAACTTTTTGCACCATCCTTTTAGATATTGGTATACCAATTCAGATGAATTTTTGTATTTATTTTATTTTCAATCACTTTGTACTGACTTTGTTTTATTTTTACTTAAAGTTCTGTGTGAGTTTGTAGTGTAGTTTTGTTTTCATCTTTTTCATAAAATCATTTGAATAATTCATTCAACTGCACTTTCTTACCTCAACAGAGTTACAACTAAAATAATCAGGATGTAATTAAAGTAAACACAATTCTATTAATTTTTACTAAGAACGTGCTTTTTGACTTTTTTGACAAAGTTACTTCAAATAGATGCATAAATCATTGTATTAATGTAAGATGAAAATTACCTGTACCAAGGACTATGCACACTATGAAGGTATGTAAAGAAAATATATTGAGTTTTAAAATTTTGCTGGTAAGTGTTGTTTTTTTTTTTAAAGAAAATAAAAAATCCCCCAAAAATCTGAATCATAATATGAAAACCTAGTCTGCAGAAGTATTTTTATATTGACAGGATAGTGGCGAGCAAAAGTCAATCTTGGCTTCCAACAGTATATTAAAGAGCACATCTACCTCTCAATATGAAACAGAATCAGAAGACGAACCAGTCCTGTACCGTGATTCCCTGTACACACCTCCATCAGGCTTCAATTCTGATACCAGCTTCAGAGAAGACATACATCCACAACAAACTAGTCAACCACGACTGCCAACAAGTCCTATTCCTATGCTTTTACGATCAGGACAGTTTGAGTCAGAGGACGAAGATCTGAATTCTACCTTGTCGAGTGTATATCCAGAAGTGGATAAATGTCAAATGAATAAGTATTCAACATACCAGAATTTAGTTGTATCTCCTTTCAGAATGGGGAGTAGTCAATCCTACAGTAGTAATGTTGACATTGACAGTCAGTCAGAAAATAGCGAAATTGAAGAGATCGAAACTCCATTTAGAAATATTGTAACGGAAAGTACTCCTCGGGAATGTGAGCAAGGTGTTATAGAAAACTATGGTGAAAATCACACAGTTGAAATTAATGGTGATGGAAAAACAGACAATGATGTTGTTGAAAGACCCGGAAGTAGTCATTCTTATAGAAGTTGTTCATCAACTGATTCCGTGATTGTTTCACCGAGAAAAGATTTGGTGCGAAGTCAGAGTATAAATCAGAGTGATGGTGAAGATGGTGATGTTTCTAACAATGCAGATCCTGAAGAATCTATATCACCTAGGATTGGTGTAAGTTGTTGTATAGAACATTTAGTTGTTGATGAAAACTGCTTGTATAAAGATGAGAAGATGTGGTATGATTGCCAATGAGACAACTCTCCACCAGAGACCAAAAATCATAGAAGTTAACAACTATAGGTCTCTGAACGGTCTTTAATAATTAGAAAAATACATACCTCTTAGTAAGCTATAAAAGGCCCTGAAATGACAAATGTAAAGCAATACAAATGAGACCTTACTACCTGTTTGGGGTCAATGACACTTAACCTATTGATGCTTCACAACAACCACTTTTGCACTGTTGTATTTCAGACATTTTCTCTTGTGACCTAAAATTTTATGTGAATGTTTGTGTTGTCTTATAATAATTGACAAAAAACATTATTGGTCTTCTATGTAGTTTAAATTATCTATTACTTGATATTTGAAGACTATGTTAATCTCTAGATCTTTTTTGCTTTTTATGCCCCACTTAGGAGCATTATGTTTTTCGGTCTGTGCCTCCGTTCGTCCGTCTGTCCCACTTCAGGTTAAAGTTTTTGGTCAAGGTAGTTTTTGATGAAGTTGAAGTCCAATCAACTTGAAACTTAGTTCACATGTTCCCTATGATGATCTTTCTAATTTTAGTGCCAAATTAGAGTTTTGACCCCAATTTCACGCTCCACTGAACATAGAAAATAATAGTGTGAGTGGGGCATCCATGTACTATGGACACATTCTTGTTGTGTGATATTTTGCTATCTCATCTACTTATACCCCACCTTTATTTTATGACTGTAGGAAGTAGATGTGACCCTGCAAAGACAGGAAGAAGAAGGCCTCGGTTTCACATTAACTGGAGGGGCAAGCAGAGGGGGCTGCTATATTAAGAAAATCATTCCAGGCCCTGCACTTTCTGATGGGCGGCTACAACCTGGTGATAAACTCATCAAGGCAAGTATTTATTCATTGGGAAATGTTTTGTTTGTAGAAATTATTAACTTTAAAGCAACTCAACATAACTGTAACAAATGTATAGTGCTATTGCAATACTGTATATGGTTGACTTAGAAGGCATTTAAACTATATAGAGTTGATTTCCTTTTACCAGAAATAAAACAACATTTTGTAATAAATAGCTAGTCAGGAGTTCAGTAATAGATACAAACACTGCTTTTAAACATTCTTACCATTTAACAATGGTTAAATGATTCAGTGGAAGTAACAGGGGTACTGTAGGTATTCCTATTACTTATCGAGTTACCGACATACTTTATCTCATACTACTAGATCATATTTACCATGTCATTTAGAAATGTTCAGAGTGAATCTCAAATTTTTACTTTACAGTTGATAGTCTTAAGTTGTATGTAAAGGTAGATGTCAACCAATAAGTGCTTAGCCTTGTATTCATATTTTAACCCATGCCTTTGAATAACAAAGCATATTAATGACAAAAATTTATTCTTTTAAAATTATAGACAGCCTTATTGCAGAAGAGAGTAACTTTGGGGGAAAATTGAATAACTAATATGTAATTACTTTGAACTGTTTAGGTGAATGGTGTTGATATGACAATGTTGAATCATTTCGAGGCCGTAACATATCTCCGTAATGCTCCGTCTATTGTAACTATTAGGATCTATAGAGATCCAGATACACAGAAGAGTGAAAAATGCACAGAAGATGTAACATTAGTAGACAACAAAACCCAGGTAAACATCACCTTTTGACATTATCACACATGATTATAGTGAATGTGTTTTTGTGTGTAATTGATTTGTACTGATAAATTGAAATAATTGTATACATATAACTTATTAAGATCTAGTAAACAGTTATTTTGTTCTCTGTTTATTCATTAAAATTTCTATCTAAAGAACGAAGATAGTTCAACACATTCAATATGAAATAAGGAGATGTGGTATGATTGCCAAAGAGACATTTATTAACCATAGACCAAATGACGTAGATGTTGAAGCCCATATTAAAAACTTGACATAAAAAGACAATTGTTAAATGATAAGAATACATGCACTGAAAACATTCCATAGGTTAGTTGCTAAAAGCATTTCTGATGATAACATTATGATTTTTATATCTCAATGCACAATAATTCACAAAAAGATTGAGACAAGAGAATGAGAAAGACTTCTATTAGTAAAATACAATTGACTTTACCTGTTGTTGAGCATAGATTAAAGCTGAACCCATTGTTACAAATTAAAAAATTATTTACTTCTCTGTTTTACAGGGAGAAGAGGAGCAAGTCTTAAGTGACGAGGAGAGTGACTCAGTGACAGAGAGTGTAGAGGCCAGTACTGGTCAGTTTGAGGAAGACAGTTTAATCTCTACTGACCAAAGTCTTTTGACCACTGATCAGTTAAGTCACTCAAGTTCAGTGGCATCAGATACTGTGAACTCGGAGAAAATTGACTCCTATATAAATGAACTAAAGACTAATTGTGACTTTGACAATAGTGGTAAGGATATATATGAATGTGATAGTGAGAGTGCAAATAAAAGTGATAGTGATGATAAGGTTGTGATATCCCCTCCGGGAAATAAATCTGGCCTCAAGTCTCAGGATAGTGAAGAACTTGATTCATTTGGAATGAATTTATCTGAGGTAAGTATACAGTAAAACTATTCATTTAAAATATTTCTTTTTATTTACATCCAACTTTTAAACATTTGAATAATTTTATCTAATGCTCTGTATATTTACACAATACATTCTTATACTCCCCTGTCCCGGAAATATAAAACAACTGTTATACAAGTGGGAGGTTTAGCTAGCTATAAAACCACGGTTAACCCACCATTTTCTTCAGAAAATGCCTGTACTAAGTCAGGAATATGTCAATTATTTTACATTCCTTCCATTGGCTTATAAAGAATAATGTTTGATTTTGTCAGTTTTTATGGACTTCCCCCTTTTTGAATTTACCTAGCAGTTCAGTATTTTTGTTATACTTTTTAACTTTTCTCAGGTAATGGAAAAGCAGGTTTGTGAGGACTTAAAATCCTAGAAAGCTTCAATAAGGTCATCAGAGGAGATGTGCAATAGTAATGATATTCAGTGTCATAATGTTGAATCTTAATGTGCTGTGTTGTTAAATTTAGCGTTTTAATACTTACAGACAGGCTTATTAAAGATTGAGTTGGAAAAACCCCCAACTGGAGAACTTGGCTTTGGTTTGGTCACAGCAGAGAAGGACCAACAGACAGGTGTCTTTGTCAGGTCCATCACAGAAGATGGTGTGGCTGATAGAGATGGAAGGTTACAGGTCATGGACAGAATTGTACAGGTAAGTTACAGGTATTTAATTTAACAGTCAGATGTCTTGATCTGGTCTTTCATAAAAAATTGTGTAGCTGGCAGACAACAAACTCAAGTAATGAACAGAATTTTTACAGGTAAGTTGCATATACAGTTTACAGACAGGTATCTTTGTCAGGTATATCTTAAATGTATGTGGCTAACAGAAAGTAGACTTTGATGATATCATCTACCCATAAAGAATGATTCTGTGTTGACATGTTATAAATGATACATTTTGTCTATTTCAGTTCATAAATCATGTAATTGTATTAAAACTAAGGTTGCAACTCCCTCCGGGTAAAGTTGACTCTAGATAGTTTTGACTTATGCCTTTTGTTTTTAAACTCTCTGATATTTTATTATGCCCCACTGTAGCGGAGGGGGCATTTAGTTTTACCCTTCTCCATCTGTATGTCCGTACGTCCCAAAGTTGGTTTCCTTTCTCTAAACTTAGTTTGCCTCAACCAAATCTTATGAAACTTATACACAATGCTTATTACCACTTAACACAGATCAAGTTTGAATTTTGGAAGCGTCACTTTAACCGTTCTAGAGTTATGCCCCTTTACAAATGGAAAAATTGCTGAATTTTTCGATTCCGTTCTCTTACTTTAGTTTGCCTCAACCAAATGTTATGAAACTTATACACAATTCTTATTACCACAAAATACAGATCGAGTTAGAATTTTGGTGGCGTCACTTTAACCGTTCTAGAGTTATGCCCCTTTACAAATGGAAAAATTGTTGAATTTTTCGTGTCCGTTCTCCAACTTAAGTTTGCCTCAACCAAATGTTATGAAACTTATACACAATACTAATTACCACAAAACTCAGTTCAAGTATGAATTTGGGTACCGTCACTTATACCGTTCTTCTGTTATGTCCCTTTATAACTTTATATGATATGCAAGCGGAGGCATCATCTGTGTCCCATGGACACATTCCCCATTTATTAGTCCCCTACCAACGAAGTCGAAGGGGACTTTAGGTTTGCACTCTGTCCGTCTGTCTGTCCGTCCGTCTGTCCATCCGTCAGTCCGACAAATCAGTTTTCCAGACTTTTTTTTCTTCATGCTTGAAGATATTGATTTGATATTTGGTGTATTGTTTTATAATGACAAGTTACAGGTCAAGTTCGATTTTCACGATTTTATCTTTTCTCCTTGTTCAGTTAAAGCCCTTTCCCTAGAATTAAATTTTTGATGAAATACTTATCAATTACTTGATTTCTGTTCAAAGGGAATTAACTCATTTTTTAACTTTCCCTAGAATTACATTTTTGAAGAAATACTCATTAATTACTAGATTTCTGTTCAAAGGGAAATAACTCTTTTTTTTTTTTTAAAGATTTGTAAAAGACATTGTATTAAGATAAATGACATTTTGGATTTTCTTTCCTTTTCTTTAGTAAATTGTTTGAAGAATTTAGTGGTAGGTTTGCTCCATTACAATGAATTTTTAACCAGTAGGGGACTATGTATTGCCAAGCAATACTCACAGAATGCTTGTTTTATTTATTTTGGGTTCTTTCAGCTTTTGGTCTCTGCTGTACCTGATGAAGGTTATTACCGAAACATAAGTTGTGAGCATGGACGTCTGTTTCATGCTTCTACTTTTTTTGTTGTAATGGACAGAATTGCACATTGCACATTTGAGTTAAAGGTGTACATATACAGGTAATACGCTGATATCTTTGTCAGATCTTTCAAGAAGGAGAAAGCAAACTTAATTGATTAGCAAAATTCTGCAATTTTATTGTCATAAATAGATATGTTTGACACTCCTTTCACTCAAAATAGAAAAACCCCAATCAATGATGTCTGGACCTCCAAGTTTATTTCTCCATTTCTTTGTTTTGTATATTGACTGTTCTCTGATCTGATATTGATCCAAATATAGTAGTAATGTATTCTAATTGCAGATAAATGGAGAGTCATTGGTTGGTTTAACTCACAAGAAGGCAGTTACTATGCTACACAACATAAAAGGAGAAGTCGTTTTAACTATATCAAGGTAACATTACATGAAAGAAGATGCTAATCCTATCAGACAAAGCTATTCTAGTAGGTTATTTTCCAATAGGATATTTGTGATTTTAATATAAAGATATATTGCAGGTATACTTTTTATTAGCTCACCTTTCCAAAGGAAAAGTGAGCTTTTGTAATCACTTGGTGTCCATCGCCGTCTTCTGTCCGGTGTAAACTATTTCAAACATTTTCTCCTCTGAAACCTTCTACCTGCCCTGAAATTATCAGCTTTAGGTTATTGCCCCTGAATTGATGATTTTAAGGAAATTTTGCAGTTTTTGGTTATTATCTTGAATACTATTATAGATAAAGATAAACTGTAAACAGCAAAAATGTTCAGCAAAGTAAGATCTACAAATAAGTTTAAATGACCAAAATTGTCAATTGACCCCTTAAGCAGTTATTGCCCTATAAAGACAATTTTTCACAATTTGTTCATCTAGTTTGCTTACTTTAAAAAATCTTCTCCTTTGAAACTGCTGAATCAATTTCAGCCAAACTTGGGCTGAATGAGTTTCAGAGTATCAAGAAACATAGCCACTATGGCTAAAATGGACCATGGGGGTAAAATGCATTTTTTTACTTTTGAAGAAAATATGACAGATACAAAGAACATTTAAATGGCATTTTTAAGCCACTCATTAATATATATTGAAAAGCAAAAATAATCATTGATGAAAGATTTAAGCAAAAAATTACAGGTGAGCGATTCAGGCTCTTGAGAGCATCTTGTTTATTTACAGGTATTTGTTATTTTTGTAGTGATATAAAGAAAGTAAAATGTGCAAGCATTCAGGAACATACATAATTTTGTTAAAAAATTCCATGGAAATAAAGCTAACATAAGCATAATATTTATGGTGAAATAGAGTTAATTAAAGAACAAGCATATGAAAAAAATGTACAGATGACCATGCATTGTAAATGAATGGAGCACATGTTTGATAGTGGTCACTCTGGTGGTTACATATATTGTAAATATTGAAAGCATACGGACAATAAATAACAAGACAAATTGTACATTTCAGATTATCAGCTAGGCAGTACGATTTGATGACACCTCCTGTTATAATGGATGAAGATTACTATGACAATGAGCATTCCACAGAGACAAAAAGTGTAAATGTCAAACATGAAGTTCAAGGTCAGTCTTATGATAATGGAGAAAATGATAAAGATCATCAGTATGTTGAGGTCATAGAGGATGCTACAGATTCAGAAGAGGAAGAAATGAATGAATTAGTTATGGCTGCTGAAAAATTACTGGCAGATACGAGCGAATTTGACACCGAAGAAATTGTACCACAGAGAAATGAAGTTCAAAGTGATTTGAATGATGGATCACTTGGAGGCACACTCACTTCATTGACCTCATTAAATGAAAATGAAGATCTTCACACTAGAACTTTTAACATGTCTTCTTTACCAAGAAAACTAGACATGAAAGTGCCTGAAGAGGTGAACTTTGAATGGCTATGTTCATGTGTACCCCTTATGACCATGAAAAATGAAATGAAGTCATCTGCTGAAGAACTGGCAAAGAAATTCCAACAAAAAGTAGATCAAGGTGACCCAGCTGAGGAATACAAGGTTTGTTATGTAAAGATAAGTGAAAAGTACATTTTGAAGTGATATTTGGATACTTAAGAGCTTAAATAAATTTCTGAGTAAATTTTTTTTTTTTCTTTCATGGTGGTAAAACCTATGATGAATAGTAATGTTGTTACTTTTTTTAAGTTATAAAATGAATTGCTTCTGGGTATGTTAAAACTAGTGCCACAGTTGACACATATATAGGAGTATTAATCAATACAGTATTAAATTGTAGGAATTAAGACAAGTGAAAATGACTGATAACTGCAGCATAGCCAAACAGGCAGATAACAAGTTGAGTAACAGATTCAGAAATGTTCTACCATGTAAGTATTATATGATTTTAAGGGAAAAAAACCTGTAACTTCTTGATTTGTGTTTCTTCAAAGGAAATGTAATGTTACCATTATTAAGATAGAAGATGTCTATTTTTGGTGGAAATTAAAATCTGCTATATAAATAGTTAAATGAAAATTATTCTGCTTAAAGTTTAGTGACCTACCTTAAAGCTGCATTGATTCATATATCGAATGAAGCTTTTGAGATTTCCATCGTCTTTATATCCAGATATCCAGATTAACATCATTCAATGTAAAATTCTTTTTAAAGTATACACACTTTTTATTTTAGTCGTAGGCTTACAGGTTGATAAAGTATCTTAAATGGTTTAAAACATGATATCCTATATGCAATGTACTTTTGTTTAAAAGTTCAAAAACTTTTGCTTCCAGATGATTTCAACAGAGTATGTTTAACAGGACTTCACAGTTACATCAATGCCAGTCACATAGCAGCACCTGTTGGGGAGGAGGAATGCCATTATATTGCTTGTCAAGGACCACTCCCACTTACCTCAGAACATTTCTGGCAGATGGTTTGGGAACATGATGTCTCTGTTATCATGATGTTGACCTTGGATGTAGAGGCCAGGAAGGTCAAATGTCACAGATACTGGCCTGATTGTACAGAAACACCATTGTTTGTATGTGATAGGTGAGACCTAAAACAAAAGACTTCATTTTCTTCCTCTTTATGTAGACTGATATAAATGAAGTATTATTCACCAAATTAAAACTTTTTGAAATGTTTGTAATGCCTGATACATTACTGTCAAGATTCTCCTGAACATTTCAGGAGTATATCCTCAAACATTTATGAACACTTTTGCCATATGATAGAATTTGTTTAATGTATTCAACTGGAAAGGTAAAAAAAGAAATAGAAAAATTTGTCAACCTTCTCCAATATTTTTTTTGACAAGTCCAGTGAAAAATAAATCGTTTTTAGCAGTTTAGTGATTGATTGATGGTTTGATCATGATTTAAAGTGATATCAGCACATACTGCTTTGTCAAAGCAACAAATTTTGTTGAAATAACACAGTGGAAGACAAATCGCATAGACTTGTTAAAACAATATTACTGTTGTTTGAAGATACTCCTTGGTGAATCAGAAATTAACTTTTAGTTGTCTGCACATATGCTTGCTTGAATATATGTATATATTTTTTTTCTTTTCAGTCAATTGAAAGTGAGTTTAGCTGACAGCCAGACATTAGAACACTTTGACATCAAAGAAATTGAGATAGAAAAAGTAACATCAGGAGAATTAAAAAGAGTTTATCATCTAAACTATACTACCTGGCCTGACCATGGGGTACCATCATCACCTGTCCCAATTCTTCAGGTAATATGCATACTCGTGAATAAAGGGAGATAAGGCCAATTAAAATTAATTGATAGATTTTCATCCCCGCCCGCTCCTCTGAAATCATCCTGCCTCGATTTTTTTATATTTTTACTATTTCTGGACTTTGTTCATTTCCGTTACCGGTAACCGCCGACAATTTCGCTTCATTCAAAACTTCCTGTTTCAAATTTCGGTTTTTCGTATTTCTTTGAGTAATATATTCGACATATTCTTCTGCTTAATGTTGACAACATTATCTTCTGAGAATATAGATTGATTACTAGAAGGGCATGAAATATTCGGGTTACGAGTAATAGGCGGTGTCCTTAAGAACGCTAATCGCGGTATGTCATAAATTTCAGTGAATAGAAAACCGTGGATTTTTTTTTTTTATTTATACAATGACTTTGTGTCAGATAATTTGGACTGTAAATGATATCCAAAGCACAAGAATCATGGAACACATTGGTACAAAAACATTACTGGCTTATTGACACGGCCAACGTACAAACTGTATTATAGCAAGCCCTTAGATTTACCCCAAGGCTGTCATTTTTGTCGAGCCTCTACTTTTGTCGAAAAAGCGAGACATAGCGATCCTACATTCCGTCGGTGTCGGCGGCGTCCACAAATATTCACTCTGTGGTTAAAGTTTTTGAAATTTTAATAACTTTCTTAAACTAACCTGGATTTCTACCAAACTTGGACAGAAGCTTGTTTATGATCATAAGATAATATTCAAAAGTAAATTTTGTAAAAAAAAAATTCCATTTTTTCCGTATTTTACTTATAAATGGACTTAGTTTTTCTGCCAAGAAACATTACATTCACTCTGTGGTTAAAGTTTTTGAAATTTTAATAACTTTCTTAAACTATCCTGGATTTCTACCAAACTTGGAAAGAAGCTTGTTTATGATCATAAGATAGTATCCAGAAGTAAATTTTGTAAAAAAAAAAATCCATTTTTTCCCATATTTTACTTATAATTGGACTTAGTTTTTCTGCCAGTTAACATTACATTCACTCTGTGGTTAAAGTTTTTAGAATTTTAACAACTTTCTTAAACTATCCTGGATTTGTACCAAACTTGGACAGAAGCTTGTTTATGATTAAAAGCTAGTATCTAGAAGAAAATTTTGTTAAAATTTTGTTCGATTTTTTCCGTATTTTTCTTATAAATGGACTTTGTTTTTCTTCCAGTTAACATTACATACAGTCTGCAGTTTAAGTTTTTAAAACATTTATTAGATTCATAAACTATCCTGGATTTTTACCAAACTTGGACAGAAGCTACTTACAATCAAAAGATAGTATAGAGAGGAATATTTTTATTAATTTTTTTCCTCATTTTTGTTGAGCCTGCGATTAACAGCAAAAGTAGGCGAGACACTGGGTTCCGCGGAACCCTTACGAATTTTTGTTGACAAACAGCAAACACCCTCCGTCCCCAACCCCGCAATAGAGTTGTCAAAAATCTTTTTCTTTTTGGTTCAGTTCATGTTTTTGAATTGTAATTATATTTGCACCTTGCAAAGTAATCTTAAAAGCATCAACCCTAGTATTTTCAACACAGTTTGAGTTTTCATTTCACTCTGTACTCATAATATTTGATTGATTGTTGATTGTTTGTTGCTTAACGTGCAGAGGCAAATATTTCATGCATGTTCAGGACGAGAACAAATTAACAATAAATACAATAGGTAGGTCCTGTAATAGAGGCAATGGAAAATGAGGGTATAATGGATAGGGGCAGAAATTTAGCCTTGCAACAGGCGACCTACGAACCCCTCATAGAGTTGTTGCAAGGGTTACATCCTGCATAGCCAAACGGATGCCCCACTGTGGCAAGGGTTTTACTGCCGGTCGGAAGAAGACCTGTAGTGACCATATTTCTATTCCCCAGTCACCCTTGGGGGTCATATTTGGGCTGCATACCAATGCATATGCTTTATATTATGGGCACTACAAATCATAGCTTAATATGATAATAGAAAGCAAAACAAATTTGATCTAGGTAGTCGAAAAGAGAACATTTCTCCATGTTTTTGCTATTTACTAAAAATAGGTTTTAAAGCGGCAATTACATGTAGAACAGTGGTTGCCAATCAGAAATATTAATTGAAGAATTTGAAAAATAATGCAGAATTCCTTATATATACATGATACAAGCTTATTATTACCCTTGAACATGAACAACATGTCACAAAAAGGTTTAGAGTGAAATAAAAATAAAAAAATAAAATCCTCCCACCCGCCCCATTTTTTTCAAAAATCTGGATGAAAATCTACTAATTAATTTTAGTTGGCCTAACTGAAAAATAAAAATAAAAAGAGATTGAATGAATAAGGATATTGTGATTGGTTTAAATTTGTTAATGTGCAATAAGAGAATTTTGTAGAAACGCTTGTTGTATCCTTAATTTATTGTTAAAGAACTTACAGCCAGTGTCAAGATGAAAAGCAGCAATATAAACACCTTTAGCACATTTGTCATTTTCTAGTAATTTCATGGGATTGTTGTTTTATGTATGTTGTACATCCATAATATATTCTTTCATTTCCTTTCAATGTATGATTTTAAGTAAAAAAAATAAACCATAGATAATTAGTTTTATGTATGTTGTACATCCATAATATATTCTTTCATTTCCTTTCAATGTATGATTTTAAGTAAAAAAAATAAACCATAGATAATTAGAAAATAAAGTTGAATAAAGTCTTGTAGCCGTGTAATGTGTTGTTTATAGCAATAGTTTATTCTTTATTTTCTAGTTTCTACAGCTTGGTCATGTATACCATACCAGTGGACCTTTGATTGTACACTGTAGTGCTGGGATAGGAAGAACTGGTGCCCTAATTACTATAGACATAGCTCTTGCTAGACTAGAAAGTGAAGGAAAGGTAAACTTGGGCTATAAAATAATTAAACGTTTTAAGTTTAATGAAATTTGGTGATAATAAATGAAGTTCTTCATGATTTTTCGTAAAGTAAATAACTTCAAATTCCTTTAAAAACTTGATATATACCTGACAATAAATTGAAGTAAATTTTAAAAGATAACACATTATTATGAGTAAAAGGAAAACATCAATCATGCAGCAACACAATAAAACTATCAGGTCAACATAGGAATTTCAACAATAGGCAGGTTTCAATGCCATATGTCAAGCTCTTATTGTTGTAAGTCAAGATAATTTTAAAAATTAAACACTCTCCCAAAGGTTGCCATCAACACGAAATTCATTTCAGTATGTTTTATCATGTAATGAGTATTTTACTATTCACAGAAGGGTCAAAGTTTAATATACAAAATATCTATATGTATACCATACAAAGTCTTTGCTATAAAAATAATAATGATAAAGTACTTTATTCAAAGAGAGTTACACATCAAAATGAAATTCAAATATTTGTGAAATATTTGAGATTTCAGTGTATTATATTTGTGATTTCAGTGTTGCATATTTGAGATTTCAGAATGATATATTTGATATTTCTGTATGATGAATTTGATATTTCAGGGTGATAAATTTGAAATTTGAGTATGATATATTAGAGATTTCAGTGATATATTTGAAATTTTAGTTTGATATATTTTATTTTCAGTGTGATATATTTGAGATTGTGAAGGACCTAAGAAGACAAAGACAAGGAATGATCCAGACCAAAGTAAGTGTTTATAGAGAGTCACATTTAGACCTTATATCAATAATAATGAGTATAGATTGCACTTTGTGAATACAGCTGTTTCACAAACCACACCTCTTTTAGGGAGATATTTAATATTTATAGATATTTTGTTTTGTTTACCTATTGGTTCCCAGATATGATCTACATGTCATCTCATAAATACACAACTTAGGAATTTTACCAGTATAAATACACATGGATAGCGGCCAAATTGAATTCTGAGGAAGACTCAAAGTAAATGCATGGGTAGTACAGAATTTTAGTACAAGTTTAAACGATTAGAAGTTTGAGGCATATAAATGTTGAAAATATGCCACACAGCCCTATGTTTTGACCTTTGAAAATAATAGTAGTGTATATGAACTGTCCATTCTAGGATATAATTTTCCGAAGCTTCATAGTAAAAGTGGCACATTGGCGCCGTTAAAGGAGTTCCTATGGGAAATTGCATTTTCGATGTTTACAGACGTGCAACCTGTAATATGATGAAATTCAAGAAACAAGTGCTCTTAAACATAGAAATTCACATGAAGTATGATATTGATATATACTGAAAAAACAAGCTAACAGTATACAAGTGAAATATTATTCAGAAATTGTTGAGAAAAAACGCAAGGATTCCAGCTTCTCTAAAATTGATAGGTTTCAATGCTTAAGTGGCTCCAGTTATCCAATATATCTGCCTAAAAATATTAAAGAAAAAAAGAACAGGGATACAGTTATTCAGTTATAGAAATAAAGATTCTACCACTGCATCGAGTGTGATACGATATTTATCCACTAGAGACTGTTAAATTCTCAAATTTTAAACTTGAGGCTCGGAGTGAGGCTCTCCGAGTGTTTTAAATATTTAAAATTTAACTGCTGAGAGTGGATAAATATCGTATTGCACGAGATTTGGTGGTGGAAACTGTTTCTGTTATGATTTTTAGACGATATGCAGACAATCTTAATCCTTCTTTTCGAATGACCTGCAAAAAGATGTGTTCTTTCTATGCTACGTCATCAGGCATGGTTTTTCATGACGTCACAATAGGAATTGCAGAAGAAAGCAAGAAAATTTGACGTCATAATCAAAATTTTGACCATTGAAGAACTGAGATCAAACGAACCACACGTTAATTAAATAAAAATAATCAACAGGTCAGGAAAAAGATAATTCGAGTAAGAATTAGAGAAAAATATTTATATTGTTCCTTTTAAACAAATAAAAGAAAAATGATATGGAAACATACTGGTATTCTAAACATGTTAGCTAAAAAAATTATTTATTAAAATCTTTGCTTTAAAAGTTTTAATTATACATATCAAATAAAATTGTAAATTAAATTGCCAAACAGATTTTGAGACAATGATTTTAATATAGAAGCACAGATTTTTATTGAATCATCCAATTATACTATTTTGTTTGTATATTTTCAGGACCAGTATTTATTATGTTACGAAGCATGTTTAGCAGCCATGTTAAGTGCTGTAGGATAGATAATGACATCATCATGTAGCAGCCATGTAACTAGTGCCCAGTGCCATCAGTCTTCATCCTCCGTCCATTCTTTCTCTCTCACATTATATATGCTTATCAGCAAATCTCATGTTTACAAATAGTGCCAGAATTTTGTTTTATTTTAAGTTTTATTTGCTATAATTGTTTTATTTCCCAGTGGTTTATTTTATTTGTTTACCTCCTGTTTATTTTATTGTGCTTCCTTTGTACATATATATACCTGATCTGATGCACTGTTTTATTATCTTTGCACGTTTTGAAGTGATGAGTTGAAACCTGTTAAGGTTGAATATGATATTTTTCTTATTCATTCACTGTGTGTCCCTCTTACCTGGATAAATTTTTCAATAAATATTCATAAAAATTTTCCAACTTTCTAGAGTAATTGGATGCACAAAAGTAACTTTTCTAAATACTGTTACATGTAAATTTGAATAAAACTGACTATTTATTCAGTAGCGTACTGTTCTTCTAAATCTTTATGTTTGAGTAGATTTGACCTTCTAGAGTCAATTTTAAAATAGTTTTTTGTTTCCATTCAGCATTTATTGTTATAACCTCATGTGCAATATATTTATTAATTGACTTTTTATCTTGTTACTATGTAAAGGAACATATAACCTTGCCATAAGCAGTCTTCCAGCAATTTTTAACTGTTACGGTGCTTCTTTGTTGTGATATTAAGTAATTCTAAGTCTCATCTGTGTGTATTTTACATTTTTAACCGTCCTTTAGTATGTCTCAACATTATGTTTTTAAGCAATTCTTTGTTTTTATTCAATGATTTTTTTAGTACAGCAAACATGGAAGTATATATCAGGATATTGGAGTGAAGTTATAATTTGTATTTAGATTTTTAAATTATAAACAGTATAGGCGGTTTTCATCTTTGTGAATAAATAGGATTGATTTTCCTTTCTTTATTATATTCACCTCAGACATATAAAGTATTATTCATATTTAGACGACAAAAAAAAACAATAATGTTAGTTATTTTTTTAGTCTAAAAATTAAGTCTTGAAAATTATTAAATTGCAAAATAGAAAGAAATGGAATGTTTCCAATAGAATGACAAGAAGTTAATTTTTCTGTCTCAGCAATATGCTGCTTTAAACTGCCTGGTTGATGTATGCAAATTTTGTTATTTTTATCATATGTAATTGCAAAACAGTTAAAATGTATGTTCATGCCATGAAAATGTATTCATACACAATGTAGGTTCTCATTCAACTGTTTTCCTTGAAAATACAGGCCCATTTCCACTTGATTTTTTTTTGTGAAATAAACACACAGGAAATTGGTCCTACCGCTTTAAATGAAACAGTATTTTTTTGAAATTATTTTTAACTTGCTTTGTAAAAAAAAATCTAGTTAGTTTTTTGGATGTACATGAATTATTTTCTTTACACGGCAAACTTCAGATTATTATTCTCCTACAAATATCAACTGAATCTCTTATAATTGTCATTCCAATAGTTATTATGCCAAACATTTGTAAGGAATCAAAATTGATATAGTTGACTTTACTGAGTATTCAACACTTGATATATTTCAAAACTGCAAAAAAAATTAGAATAGAATTGACAAAATTCAAGAAAATAGGTGAACACTTTTTGGATGAGAACCTGGAATTGATTTTAATATGGCTTTCATAATGGTTGTGGAAATTTGATTGTTTTTGTTATCCATAAACACTAGTCTTTCCAGTAAGTTTTGTTATTTATTGTTGCTATATTTGTCAAACCTGTTGATGTGGAGTTTTCTTATATTGCCGTAGACGGATGTTTTCTTAAGAAATTTCAATGCCATGCAAAAAAAAAAGGCTTTTCATTAGCTTGCAAGGATTGTTAAAAAGGAATAATATTTAAAAACAGAAACTATTCATGTATTTACCAGCTTTCTTATATTTTGCCAATTCACTTTAAAATTTTGTCAAGAGCTAATCAAGTCCTTCATTTCTTTTCAATTGAATTCTGTCAGAGCATTTTGGTTCAGCACCTAATTTATTTTAATTGTACTCTACAAAACTAACATAGAATCAATTATAGATGTAACATCCTTTATTCTATTTTAGGTAACATATTCTGTGTAGCTGTTTCAGTTTTTTTTCATCATTTCATTTTAAAGACTTGTTTAATACTTTTTTAATATCATTATAGCTTTAAATTAGTGTTGTCACTAAGCCAAAAGATAAGTCCATAGACTAAAGCATAATTTTATTTAAATACCCCAAAAATAACCCAAACTATTTTTGGTATATGTTGTTGTAGTTTTGTTATGCTAGGCAGAAACTGTGTACCCAACACCTTGACTAATATTAATTTGGCTCGTTTAATTTTCATAAAATTTTGACAAAATGTTTACTTTGACCCTTTGACAAAAATATAAAAATTTCAAAAAATTTGAATTAACCACTTTATCAGAAAAATTTCATTGGTTATATAGCAGTTTGACAAACACTAATTTTGATCATTGAGAAGCTTAATATTTCCTTAACAATACAACGTAATTAAAACGTTTAGCTGATTTTTACAGAGTTATCTCCCTGTAGTGTTAGGTACCACCTTAAATGAATTGATACATTTTCATTCAGAAAAAAAAAGAAATCCATACAGATGATATGACCTTTATATTTATTAGTGTTAGTATGCAGTGATCCACCCTCAAAAATGAATGAAAAATTGGTAGCATGTGTTCTTTTATAATAACATTATTTTGTGATCAATTTGTCTAGGGTCAATGTATGTCTGGTTTGAAATGTGTTTCAGAATTAAAAAAAAAATAAAAAATGGCAGGTTCATATTAAAATATGTGTGTTTACCTTAGTGGCATTCATCTGGGGAGTTATGAATGTGAATGACCAGATATGAAATGGTTAAATGTAGATTGAAAATTCAAATGTTCCTAAAGCAGGAAATAAATACAATGGGTACTTTTTCTTGATGGAGAAAATTTCTATGGTTTCATACATATTTTAACAGTGAACACTGCATTTATTGTAGGGAAAATCTAATATAGATTAATTTAAATCATTTAGTAAAATTCTACTCACATTACCCTTCATTTCATTGGTAATTTTAGTATTTCATTTTTTTGCAACAAAAATTACAATTAAAGATTAAAAACAGCTTTATCATTAAACATCTGACTACATATTATTGTAGTATGATATTTAGATAAGGTACATTCCATATATTCTACTATAGTAATGCATTGATGTCATTATTAGACTTATATATTTATGTAACAATAAACTTACCAAGACCTTGTGAGTTTTGTTCTCGATCCTTTATATTTAATGTTATTTAGCAGGAGAGGCATTCCCTGTTGATGCAGCAGATATCTTTAATACGGTTTGGATTTTTCTTAGATTTGTTTTTTACTTTGATTTATATCTTCTTAATCATGTAGGATAAATGAACATTAGTACACCACTGTAGCCTTGATTTAAAACATCCTTTTGCAAAGGTGATCTTTGTTGATATTCCTATTCTAATTTTTTTACCATATTTTTGTGCTTGATCTGTGTCATTAATGGAAAGAATTTGGTATCCTTTGTCATTTGTTAATCTTTTTAAAAAATCTTGACAAAACCTACTGATCCGGTAAATATCAAACATGACCAGAATGATCCCATAATTGACTTGCATATGACAGGTATTTGGAGATTTTTTTATTGACAACTGCTGGATCAGAGATGAATAACTAATACTACTACAAAAACTGATTGCAGCATAAAGGTGAACCATCAATCTTTTCATATAATTGCATTTGTACTTGTTCAACTTTCTCTTGATTCCTTTGACAGATTTATTTGCTGTTTGGTAGAAAGTAACTAATGTTCCAATCATTACAGATTTGGTTCAAAATTTGATATTGTTCGTGGTTAGTCTCTTCATATTGCTTTTTCAAGAGTTAGCTGAAAGCAAAAGAGATTCACAGATTATCTTATTACTCAACAATCACTCTACTTTCTCATTGACTTCTGATCAGCTTTAAAAATAATGGTAATGTAATGGGAGATAACATACAATTATGTGTATAACCCAGAAAAGACTAGGTGAGAAAAAAGTAAATACGAAAATAAAAAGTAAAAGGCCAGATGACAAGATAAAATAAAACAACTTGATACAAATAAATACACATCTAAGTAAAAAAAAAAAGAAATATGAGGTTTTCGGGAATAGTAACTTTACACTGATATGTGTACCCTGGGAGTCATACTTTCTCCTATCAAGCCTGTAATTTGTTTTGAATGTTCATACTGTTGTCGTCAATTATCTAGCATTATGATGTTGATACAAACATGTTCTTCTTTATTATTAATTATTTCTTGTTTGACAACATATTTGTTTGGATGACTAATTTTTCAAGAAACAATCGGCATTCCCATGGGAACCAACTAAACTCATATTTTGCTGACTTGTTCTTTTATTCATATGAGACGGACTTCATACATAATAGATAGATGATATCCTCTCACTAAATTATTAAAAGTTGGTGACTATGTTGAAATTGAAAATGAGGGTCGGTTGAGAACAAAATAATAAGACATAAGAGATGGTTTTAGCTTCCCAATTGTGAACTTTCTATTTCTAGGTAGCAACATTCTAGCAGCGCCTACATATGGAGTATACATCTCCCAGTTGATACGATATTCAACAGATTGCATTTTCTCTCATTGTTTCCTTGATAGAGGGTTGCTGCATTTGTCTACCATAAGATCTAAATTAATCCTAATACTGTGCCTATGGGTTATCAAAAATCTTCTGTGGTGTTTGTTAGTTAGAAAATTTGAAAGCCTTTGATGAACGTTTCCTTGTATTCCTTATTGAAGTTATTTTGGAAATAAGATTACAATTATATGGAGAAGCGTAACATGGTGATGTCTTCTTGGTGGCCTTGATCAGGTTTTTTCTCTTCAAAATGCCGTTAATAAGTTAAATCCATTCTTTCATGATGCCTTACCTCAGATGTTTTTAGCATTTGCTCTAACATAATAATACAATTTAATAAGAATTGTTTTAGTGTCAACAATATTTAATTATGAAATGGTAAAAAAATATCGATTACAATATAAATACACATAGTGACAATTTAGATCCTGAATTGTTTTGTTTTATTTTTGTTCGATTCTTCGATAACACTGTTAACCAACAAATTTTTACGAGCGAATAGATTCATTTTCGCAACTTTCCGCGAGAAGGAAAAAAAGCAAATATATATTGAGTCTTCCTTCGTGTAAATATATAAAACAGAAAATCACAAAAATAAATCGCCACGAAGTAGGCTAGAAAGGACTAATCGCGAAATAAAGTATCTGCAGAAATAAGTAGATTTACAGTATTTCAGATACTTATCGTTATATTTTAGTCTTGTGGTATTGGTCAATAGTGTATTAATTTGATTGATTTGGTTGCTTGTTTGCATAGTTTGCGTCTTTTTCTTATCATGTTTCGTTCTTTCCTCCTGGATACATGTGATTTTGTTTGCGTATTTTGATCAATAACCAGTGGATGTCCCTTGTTGGTGTGTATTTTCGAGGACTTTGCTTTGGTTATCCTTGTGTCTTTGTATTGATTCCATAAGTGCTTTGCTATATATGCAGTGTTTTTGTAGTGATGTATTTTGATGAAGATTTTGAAATCTGGATGCCATGGTCGAATATTCCATGTTCTTTATTACTTAATTTTACCAGATAATTTCTTTCTCTTTTCTTACTATACTGTTGTTTGTCTTTTCGTCGTGTTTTCCCTTAATTTTGTCTGTCTTTCTTTGACCTACAAGTGTTGATATCTTCCGCCTCTTTATCCCCGATGGTAATTATGAATGTTTGATATACTTTTTGTAACTCGCGACTTGTGTTTATGGAATTAAGAAACTAATAAGAACGCTCGATATAAAAAGTTTTTGAAGCTCTAATACATACAACCTGTTGTTCAGTGGTTGTCGTTTGTTGATGTGGTTTATAAATGTTTAACGTTTTTTATATAGATTAGACCGTTGGTTTTCCTGTTTGAATGGTTTTACACTAGTCATTTTTGGGGCCCTTTATAGCTTGCTGTTCGGTGTGAGCCAAGGCTCCGTGTTGAAGGCCGTACTTTGACCTATAATGGTTTACGTTTACAAATTGTGCTTTGGATGGAGAGTTGTCTCATTGGCACTCATACCACATCTTCTTATATCTAAAAAATAACATAAAAACAGAAGGGCCTCAACAGAGTAGCACACACTGTTTAAGATCAGATTAGCTTCAAGGTGTCAACTTTAGTGTTACTTAATTTGTATGTTTAAATTAATGTAAGTAAGCAAAATAAAATCAAAGGTACCAGGCTAAATATTTATAACCCTTTTTCTATTGGAAAGGCGGCCAACTATAGACTGAAAGTATATTTTATAAATCATTTGTGACTCGACATTAAGCAAAACAAAAACAATCAATCAATCTCGCTAACATTTACTAGGACTATCGATCTATACATGAATTATTAAGACATGAAACTCTATCAAATCAATTTATTCCCGATAATGTAAACACTGTTACAATGTAATGCCATTTCATTTTCCTCACTTCAGTATTAGTGATGATGTGTTTATGTCCGTTCGTTTGACGTTGTGAGTACTCTCACACCTTCATACCCATCAGTTTTTGATTCATATTTTTTTTATATCAAAGCCTTTCATCAGAAATATCTCTATCGATTTTAACTTAGATCCCTCGTCTACCTTAAGGAATATCGTGCTAATATCAGATCTTTCTAGAGTTTGTTGTTAAGAGAAGAGAGGCGAATAATACCAGAGGAACATTCAAACTCATAAATAGTAAATAAACTGACAACGCCATGTCAAAAAAAGAAAAGACCAAAAGAACAACAGTATACAAAACACAACATAGAAAACTAAAGTCTAAGCAACACGAACCGCACCAAAAACTCGGGTGATCTCAGCTAGGTGCTAAGAAGGGCGATTAGATGACAGCTTCTCATATTCTTTATGCGCTTGTCCATCGTTGCTGTTTTGATATCTAAACGCGTTTGACAGTGTTCCTATTATTTTTATTAAAGGTGAATATATGACAATAAATGCTCAAATGATTTTTAGTGGTAAAAACTTATGCTAGTTAAAGACCATGGTTCAATAGGATGGCGTACACTAATTTCTTTTTCCCTCTGTCAACCCTTTTATTTTCCATAAATGCACGTAATGTATTGCTAAATATATACGTATATAGTATTGAACAGTGCCATCCATTGAAATCATTTGGTATCCCTCGCTATTTGTTTACCATTAAAACAGTCTCGGCAAAAGCCACAGATCCAGTTGAAATAAAACATGGTCAGAATCGTCCCACAAATTGACACACGTGACAGGTATTGGCAGACAGTCATAATGAAAACTATTTGATCATACAGGAATAACTAATACTACTATATACATTGACTGAATTATAAAGCTGGACCCTCCTTCTGTTTATATCATTACATTTGTACTTTGAACATCACAAATTTGAATAAATATTTAATATTGCCCATATTAGGTTTCTTACATTGATATCGTATGACATGAGCCAGCTGATAGGTTCACAAATTACCTTATAACTCAACCACCACTCTAATTGTTCATGGACTTCTGATCAACCACAAAATCACAAATAAAATGGAGGGAAACATTCAATGTTGTGTATAACCCAGTCAGGTCTTGAAGTGAAAAATATTAAAACGAAAAGAAAAAGAAAAATTCCAGATAACAAGATAACATAAATCAACTTAAAAAATGAAAGACACAAATAAGAACATCTAGGAAATACATTGGTAATAAGTTCCCTAGTAATTATTTTCCCTTCGTTTGCTCAGAGTTCAAAGTTGTTTAGGTTTGCTTATAAGGTTTAGTGGTGCTTTTTTATATTGTTGCGTGATGTAAGCAATTGTCAGCATACGGGTGGACACATACTTGACACTGGTAGATCATTGATGTGGATTAAGTACAAAATGGTTCCAGTACAGTGCCTTGGTGTTATTCAAAATCTACCAAGGTTTCTGATTGTAAAGAAATTTGAAAATCTTTGGTGAGCGTTTCTTTCTTTTTCTAATTGCAGTTGTTTTGTGTATAAGCTTTTAATGTATCGACTACTTTAAAGAAGTATCAGATGGCGATGTCTATTAGATGGCCTTAATCACGTTTTCATTTTCTTCTTTAAAGGCAATTCAATGTTATTGATTGATCTTCATTAATCTGAAGCTGAAGATTCCAACATTTGTTTTGTGTATGC